CCCCCCCTCCTCCATGCACGATGCCACGGCCGATCCAGGACCGACCGGCCCAAGTCCTGCCTGCGGCCCGTTGGCCAAAAAGATCGTCGTCGCAGCAATCACATGCAACGGGGTTCTAATTGGCTACATTCAGGTTGAGCAATATTATTACGCTATGATGCGTTGGAGACGGACGAGCTATGACCGCCGAGGGGAGGTGGATATGCATGTTGAATGCGCGCACGCAGGGCAGTGGGGTCTGGCCTGCTCAACCACCACTCATCTGAACCACACAACGGTGGCGGATCATCTGCATGGTAAATTACTTGCACCTTGTGTGTTACTGCTTACGGGTTGGACAGAATGACTGGCGTCTTCAACGGGGGGGACCTCACGCTGCAATGGGTTAGCGATGGGCTTGTTACCGTGTATTGGAGGCGGCAACCCCTCCAGTCCGTGGGAGCTTACACCCCTCGCGGTTCATCGTCCCCTTGCCCATTGGCTGCAGCCCCACAGACTGTCTACCCACGCTCTCGCCGACGCGTTGCGGGCGGTTTTGCGGTTAGATGAGGCTTGTTGTTTGAGTGACTGTCCATGGTGGGCTGTCACTTCTCTTTGCTTGAGAATACAACAGCTCTCTTCACAATGGCTCAGAGAATGCTTCTTCGTGCAAGTGGCCCACGCCGAGTCTACTATGGCTTCACCACCCGCTCTTTTAGTACTGTTCTTGACACGCCTGTAGATCCGGGCACGCAGCAAATACGCCTGACAACACCGCGGACAACGGTGTTTGAGAATGCCCTCAATGCAAAGGCACCGCGAACAAACTGGACAAAGGAGGAGATTTCAGAGATATACAACACTTCGCTGATTGACCTCACCTATGCTTCGGTAGGTCACATTGCTCTCTTGTCCAGCGAATATGCCCCTCTCATCAGTCTCGTAGGCCTCGGTCCACCGCCGATTCCATGACCCCGCTGCCATTCAAATGTGTACCCTCTTCAACATCAAGACGGGCGGCTGCAGTGAAGACTGTTCCTACTGCGCCCAGTCGTCTCGCTACGACACCGGCCTCAAAGCCACAAAGCTCAGCTCCGTCGAGTCCGTCCTCGAAGCTGCACGCATAGCCAAAGAAAACGGTAGCTCGAGATTCTGCATGGGCGCTGCGTGGAGAGACATGAGGGGCCGCAAGACGAACCTCAAGAACATCAAAGAAATGATCAAGGGCGTGCGCGGTATGGGCATGGAGGCATGTGTGACGCTGGGTATGGTCGATGCTGCTCAAGCAAAGGAGCTGAAAGATGCGGGCCTGACGGCCTACAATCACAATGTCGATACCAGTCGCGAGCACTACCCTAGCGTCATCACCACGCGTACCTACGACGAGCGCCTCAACACCATCAAGAATGTCCAGGAAGCCGGTATCCATGTGTGCACCGGTGGCATTCTTGGTCTAGGTGAAAAAGCCCGTGACCACGTCGGTCTCATCCACACTGTAGCCACTCTCCCCGCCCACCCGGAGTCTTTTCCCGTCAACGCCTTAGTCCCCATCAAAGGCACTCCCCTGGGAGAAACCCAAGCCATCTCTTTCGATGCCATCCTTAGAACCATAGCTACTGCGCGCCTCGTGCTGCCCACCACTATCATCCGTCTCGCTGCGGGCCGCCACACCATGCGTGAGGAAAAGCAGATTCTGTGCTTCCAGGCGGGTGCGAATGCGGTGTTCACAGGCGAGAAGATGCTGACGACGGCGTGTAATGGGTGGGAAGAGGACAAGGCTATGTTTGAGAAGTGGGGGCTTAGGCCGATGAAGATGGAAGAGACGATTGGGGAGAAGAGGAAGGTGCCGGGACAGGAGGAGGCCGAGGCAGTTGTTGCGGCGGCGGAGAAGGAGGCGACGGTGCAGGCACTTGCTTGAGGGGGGGATATGTAGGTGTAGCAGTTATGCACTGTGATGATGAGCTCTTCAATGTGCTGCTGAAGCCCAAATCACGTTATGTGACTTGTACATAGTTGATTAAGAGTTTCTATGTCTATAGCCTTGCTCTCTCCAATGTGTCAAGAGGCTGGTGTTCTGTATTCTCTTCCGCCTGACTTTCACACCACTTTTCGAGCGCCAGCGCCAGTTTCTCAATCTCTTCGACCGTATTTCCGGCATGCAGACATATTCTGACTCTTTCTGTACCTGCAGGTACGGTCGGTGACACGACTGCTCGCACCATCATGCCTTGCTCTTGCAGTGAGCTCGCCAGTGCTTTTGGATTCGCCAACTGCACTGCGAAGATGGGCGATCTAGGGCATACCGACGGGATCTTCAGTATGCGGCGCGCATGGCTCGAAGTTCTCTGAAGGTCCTCAAGTCTCTTGTACAGCGTCCGGATGAGGTCATGAAGCTTCGCCTGCAACGCCTCGCTCCGACCCGACTCCAGCATCTCATAGGACGCCTGTATAAGTGCAAGCGAGGGGTATGAAAGGAAAGTCGTATAAATCAAGGGCCGCGCATAATTAATCAGATAACTCCGCAACGTATGCGATCCCAGAATAATAGCTACACTCACATTCAGCAACGCCCTCTCGACCCCCTCCTCCTGCAAAAAAGACTTACCTCCATTCCCTGCCAACGCCTTCCCAAACGTATTTAACCTCGCAAATACCCTCCCCTCCAATCCCAACTCACACACCAATCCCCTTCCCTTTGCCCCAAGCACCCCCGTCGCATGCGCCTCATCAACAACCACGTACGCCCTCTCCCTCCCAAGCACCTCCTCCGCTACTTGGACCATCTCCCGCAGTGGCGCTACATCCCCATCCATACTATACACCGACTCCACCGCTACAAACACATTCTGCTTCCCCTCCTTCTCACCCTCCAGCACCTCTCTCAACCCCTCGACTGAATTATGAGGAAAGGCCACCCTCCGGGCGGCTCGAGATAACCTCATCCCATCATGCACACTCGCATGCACCTTCTCATCATACACCACCGTATCCCCCCTTTGCGGCACCGCAGCAAAGAAGCCCGCGTTCGCATCGAACCCGCTGTTGAACAGCAGCCCGGCGTCTGCAGAGTGGAAGGCAGCGATCCGGGATTCGAGCGTGCAGGCGAGGACGGAGTTGCCGTCGAGGAGGCGCGAACCGCCGCTGCCGAGATGGGGTGGGAGGAGGGAAAGGAAGAGGGTGCGCAGGGAGGGGGAGGCGGAGAGGGAGAGGAAGTCGTTGGAGGAGAAGTCGATTTGGTGGGGAAGGGGGAGGGTCAGAGTGCGGAGGGTCGAGGTTGTGAGACGACGGGATAGGTGGGTGCTGAGGGTTTGTTCTAGGGGGGTTGGTGGGCTGGGCATTTTTTCTTCTCTTTGGATTTCCTCCCTCTTTCTTGTATGAATGTGGAGGTGAATTGGAGTTGTGGGGTTGAGACGGGGGGGGGGTGGATTGAACAAATCTTATTCTTTCTTCTTGTGTGCCTTTCTGGGGAGACGCGACGGAAGGCAATTGACAATCGACACTGGACAACCGGCCGAGTGGGGGTTGAGGCTGCTAGACAACAACAGTTCTTCTTCTTCCTATGCCTCTCTAGTGAGAGACGCGGCTGGAAAAGCAACTGAACAATCGACAATGGGTTTACTCACCGAAAAGCGTGGGGTTGTTGATTTCTTTGAGCCGCGAATTTCCGTTGAGAAGGCGAAATCGAAAGCGTATGTATCCCAGCGCCATTTTCATGTGCTTCGGGGGTACTTTCTAGTCATCAATTAGCTCAAAAAGTGTACTTTGGCCAACATGCACTATGCACTTGCATACTACGTGCATATGCGGGTGCGGGTCGATTGTTTAACTTGACTAATTCGATTTGTACAGGTACCTGACTGGAGGGGACGGGCGGCGGGTTCGGTTCGGAGACATGTCCCCCTCAACATTGTCTGGCTATTACGTTAATTAACTAGCGCAGTAACTCTCCTCATTCCTCCCCCGCTGTGATTGAGACTTTTTCTAATGAGAAATCTTATGTGCAATTGTGAATCTTGATTCTTTTTTTTTTAAGTTGTTGGTTGCTGAGAAAGAAGAGCAGGGATGGCTAGGGTTCCAGGCGGACTGTGGAAGAGACTCGTTGCGGTGCAGGTTTATGGGGCTAACACAGGAGTTGGGAAGACGGTGTTTTCGACGTTGCTTGGTGCGCATTTTGCGAGGAGGGCGGGTAGGACGAGGTGGAGGGTGCAGTATATTAAGCCTGTTTCTACAGGGCCTGCGGATGAGGCTGATGATAGGTGGGATTGCTCGCTGCTTCGAACTGCAATTGTGGCTGATGGGGATTAGTTATGTGCAAAAGTACAGCGGGAGAAGTGTGTCGACGCTATTCAAGTTCAATGAGGCTGTTAGTCCGCATGTTGCGGTAAGAGGTGCAGACTTGATTGTAAGGTCTTTTTGCTGAGTCTGCTGGCTGCTCTTGCTGATCGGCCTAGCCTAGCGATGAGCTCATCAGTCAAACAGTCTTCAAGACTATCCAGCAGGAAGCGAAAGCTGTCTCGGGAGAGACAGATGCAATGGGTCTTGCTGTGATTGAGACCGCTGGGGGTGTGCTCAGCCCGGGACCTTCAGGTACTCCGCAAGCTGACATCTTCCGTCCGCTACGACTCCCCTCGGTACTAGTCGGCGACCACCGTCTGGGTGGCATTGCATCAACAATATCCGCTGCGGAGTCTCTAGTATTAAGAGGCTACGATATCGATGCCGTGGTATGTTTCAACGACCAGAGTAAGTATGAAAATGCCGAGTACCTGCAAGAGTACTTCAAGAACTTGGGCATTGCGGCCTTTACCTTGCCATGGATTCCGAATATGCAGGGCATCGGGGCAGGCACAAAGAAAGAAACAGATTTGATGCAGGGTTACTATAGCTCCCAGAGTGGCGAGGAGCCCATTGACCAAGTTGCTACGAGGTTGCTTGATTGCCACAGCGAGCGACTCGGAAATCTGAGTACCATGGCCTCGCGGACTAACGAAGCCATCTGGCATCCCTTTACACAACACAAGCACTTGAAAAGTGCCGACGACATATTAGTCTTTGATTCCGCATACGGCGATTACTTCCAAGTCAAACAAACTGGCGGAACATTAGCAACCCACGAGGATCGTTCGGCGCTGTACCCGGCATTTGATGGCTCCGCCTCATGGTGGACTCAGGGGCTCGGCCATGGAAATCCCCGTCTTGCTCTGGAAGCAGCACATGCCGCGGGAAGATATGGTCACGTCATGTTCGCCGGAGCTACCCACGAGCCCGCTCTCGTACTTGCAGAAAAGCTCCTAAAGGACTCGCAAAATCCACGGCTTAAGAAGGTGTTTTACACTGACAATGGAAGTACGGCGACTGAAGTTGGGATTAAGATGGCACTTCGCGCGGCTAGCAAGTACTACGATTGGGACAGCAGTAAGGAAAATATTGGCGTCATCGGCCTCAAGGGGAGCTACCACGGCGACACGATTGGTGCCATGGACGCATCCGAGCCGTGTGTTTTCAACGAAAAAGTAGACTGGTACCGCGGCCGCGGCTTCTGGTTCGACTTTCCTACTTTCAAACTCAAAAATGGCCAGTGGATTGTTGAGCCACCCGAGAACATGGAGGCCGAACTCGGACCTACGCAGTGTTTTGAAACACAAGATGCCATTTTCGATCTGGCCGCCAGAGGCCGGTCTGAGCGCTATGAGGCGTATATTGAGAAGACGTTGGATGAACTGGTGAAGAAGCAGGGGAGAAAATTTGGTGCGTTAGTTATGGAACCTGTTGTTTTGGGAGCAGGAGGCATGCTCTTTGTTGATCCGCTCTTCCAACAAACTCTCGTCCGTGTTGTGCGCCGTTACAGTTTTAGCAATGGATCTCGAACTGCCCGCGTCCTGGATGAGAATGATGTCGCTTGGTCAGGACTACCTGTCATGTTTGATGAGGTGTTCACTGGTTTACATCGACTCGGTCGCTTCTCATCCGCCTCATTCCTCCAGACGCATCCCGATATCAGCGTCAACGCGAAGTTACTTACAGGTGGTCTACTTCCTCTTTCCGTTACATTAGCCAGTCAATCCATTTTCGACGCTTTCTGGGGCGACGAAAAGGCAGAGGCTTTGTTGCATGGACATAGCTACACTGCGCATGCGGTGGGATGTCATGTCGCTAATATTAGCCTGCAAACCATGCAGGATGCTAGCGTTGGCGACGAGTGGCGGCAGCATAAGAAGCAATGGGGCGGTTCTGACAACGATATCATCGCTTCCTGGAGCATGTGGTCCAAGGACTTTGTTGAGCTTCTATCGCGGCACGACCAAGTTGGTCATGTGAACGCGCTGGGCTCCGTTCTTGCTGTGTCGCTTGTCGATGGACACGGCTCAGGTACGTCTTACGCGAATTTTATTCACCTCCTTACCTGATGCAGTGTAGGATACACTTCTTCTGCTGCGGTGGGACTTCGCGACGAGCTCTTGCGAGGTAGCCCTGAAGCGCCGCAAGTCCAGATTCATTCGCGTATCTTGGGTAATGTTATTTACCTTATGGCGGGTATGCTGACGACAAGACGGCACTTGGAAGATGTTGAGAGGGCGTTCATAGAGAAGTTACGTGTGAATAGTGGAAGGTAGAGAGTACTATTCGGGTATACCTGCTTGCAAACCTGTGTCTCATGTTGTGTTTCCCTAATGAGACTTGTGCAAGAGACAGTCAGTGGATTCGAGGTTGCAAGCTGGAGAATGCTGTCACCATCAACAAGGTGCCTGGAGAGGCCATTATCGTCTAGATGCTGAGGTTATGTTTAGCAAACCATAGAGTCGGCGTTCTGAATCTTGAGCTTACTGTGTTGGTCATCTTTACTTTATATTCCACTCATCATAGCTCTTCGAGTCTCACGCCACTTCAGTGTAATAACACTCTTCGCAACACCAGGAATCGCCATCAGGTACTATACAAGGTCACACGAGCGCGACCTTGTTTCATATCCGTGATAGAAACAACTACAGCAAATACCGGCATGAGATGCAATCAAAAGTGAACTTGTCAAAGTGGGTCTATGACTACACTGACGTACTCACCATCGAGACTCGTTGCCCATCGACACCAAACATCGCACTTTTGTGCATACTCTAACTCTCTCCCAGTGTACTGCCCACAAATCACACCATCGCACTGCTTACTTCCGTCGTTTTCCCGGCCAATTACTAAATTTAGCCGCCGACCTCTACATACACAGCAGCCTGCGTCACCACACCGCCCTCTCGCAACGGCACTGTAAAAACTCTAACGAGATTATGAGGGCTTCCAAGCCCCTCCAGCCCCACAGATTCCCCTCGTGAATAACAACAAAGAGCCTGCACTTTAGCTTATTCTTATAGCTAAGCTTATGTCATACAACAAACCTTTTGCCGTCCTAGCTCGATCGCAGCATTCTTGCTGTGGAGGTACAGGGAGCACTTCCCGTCTTACTACCGGTGATCTTCGCCCAAAGGCAGACGACACTGGTTTTCTTCGATGACGATTGTTTTCGCTGCGCAAACAAACTTTGATGCGTTCGAATAGCCTCAAGAGCTTTCAAAGTTCGGAGTGCGCGGGTGTCTGCGTGATCTATTTCTAGGCTTTATCAACAGGGCAGTGGAGGAGCGGCGGCCAAGATTCACTTACTATGTAGAGACGTGTAGAAGTTGAGGCGGGTACGGGTATACATATTGAAGCTGCGATAACACAACAAGTATGGCATACTTCATACCAATTCAATTGGGATTATAGCGTGAGTTTTCCGTCATTACGATCGTTGCGGCTCTATACGGTGCTATACCCATTATAGGCTTACATCCCGATATTGAGCGAACATATCGTCACTACTGTGTGACTGGATTGAGTTTCGTATTATGCTCCTGGTGGAGAATGAGAAGCACCGGATACAAACTCTAACAATCGTCGAGTTTAGTATGACGAGTTCTCTCGGTAACACTGTTTGTTGGGCAATCGAGCTTAGCAAAGGAGGAGAGAAGAAAGTATATAAGGAACGGGGGGAGAACAGTGTAGAGACTCATCATCAACTCATCATCCAAAGCCACTTGCACAAAGTACATACTTCTCTTCAACATGCGCTTAACCATCCCCCTCTTCACTCTCGCTGCTTGCGCCAGCGCCGTCGCTGTACCCAACCCAGAGGTGGTTGCTGAGCGCGGCAACCCCGTAGCCTTCTGGGACTTCGATTTCGTCCGCGCCTACTTTACGGGCGGCTTTGTCGAGACCGTCAGCGCCGTATTCACTTCCGACAAGTACCCTGAAGGCTTCAAGTCCTTTTGCAAAACGACACACTATGATGGCGCAAGATTCGTCCCCTCCTGCACGCCTGATCATTTCCACTACCACTACGATCTGTCTGCTTCGAATAAGTCGTTCCTATTTCTCTGTTATAAGTTAAGAGAGAAATATATATGCAGCTTCTGACACACTGGGAAACAGCCGTGACAGTTCAGCAGCGCGTTTCGCAGCCCCATGAGTTGATTATCAAGGGTGAATCCGGGTTTTCGCCTAATCATGTGGACAACACCCTGGTTGGCAGTGTTCATATTCCCGTCACTGCCCAGGAACCTGCTCCTTACAAGGCTCCCAACTAAGAAAGCAGCAGCTAAATTTCTGGACGTGAGGCGTACGGCTCGCGCAGTCGTTCGAGACTCTGCTTGCTGATATGCATTGTTGAAGCATTTCAAGCCCATTATCTCATGTATATAGGAATATTGCAATTACATAAATGGTGCAATTGCCCAGCTCTGCTCTGCTTGTTGGTACGGATTGCAAGCAGATACAAGTACTATAGCTGGTGTAAATACAAGCCTAACTCTTTGAATTCTCTTTGAAAACCATGTGTGCGCGTTCTTGCTAATATGATACATGTCTTTGAGATCGAATATTGTTATATGGTTACATTCAAACAATTGCTAAGCAGACCAATCCAACTCACTTCGTTTCATGAGGACGAATGACAAGCTTCTTGCCAGATACTCCGCTCTTGCTCAAAGAAAAGGCCTCCTCAAGTCCTGAAAGCCCTCCAGGCACTACTTGCGGCCGGTTCGGAGTGAACAGCCCCTTCGCAATGTACCCATCGGGTCCACCCAGTGATTTGGCAAGGGGCTCACTCAAGTGGCGTAGGTCTGGAGAACTTCCCAACCCAATGACAGGCTTGATTTCAATGTGAGGCTCTTCACTTTGACCCAGTTCCTTGGCTTCAGCGTCGGGGGATTGAACGATGACTACATGACCTCCAGACACCTTTGCTTTCTGCAGAACCTGTACCGCAAGCTTCTGGGTAGCGGGGGCGGAAATAGCGTCGAAGATAAAGTCGAAGGGGAGTCCTCCCGTTGCTTCCAAAAGAGCATCCGGAGTGGACTCGGAACGGTCCAAAACGACGTTGGCGCCAATCTTTTTGAGGAACTCGTGGTTGCTGGAACTGGCATTTGTGACGATCCGCTCGTAGCCCGATAAACGAGCCATTTGAATGGCATATTGTCCCACAGAAGACGCTCCGCCGATGATGATCATGGATTTTCCCTTGCCGACCTCTCGACCTCCTTCCTGCCACGGTGGTGTCATGCCGTGTCCTGTTTTGGCATAGAAAGCAGTCGTAACAGCTACGGTTGCTAGCATAATACCCGCGGCTTCCTCATCGCTAATGTTGTCGGGTGTCTTCGACAGTAGCTCAGCAGGCATCTTGCAGTACTGCTGGAAGGTTGATGATTCGTAGTTTCCAATGACACCCTGGAAGAACACACGCTCGCCAACCTGGAAGTCTTTGACCTCAGAACCGACGGCAGCTACTTCGCCTGCTGCATCGGAACCGAGGACTGCAGGATATTTCTGAATGAAGACGGCGTAATCGCGTATCTTGTAATCGACAGGGTTGATGGCTGTGGCAGTGATCTTGATACCCACTTCATTGGGTTTCAAGTCAGATAGGCTGCGTTCCGCAATGGATAACTGGGCTTTTGGCTCAGGCACTTCAGCGCCCTGGAAAGTCGAAGGAAGAGACATGCTTATTGAAGCTTTTCGTAATTTCCTAGTTGTTGTAGGGGATTTTGTATAACGGATAAATAGGTTGGTTAAATTGGGTGGTAAGTGTAATATGAAGGTAGCTCAGGTCAATGCGATGCTGATTGAGAGCTTTAGAGTAATAACGAAGGGACTAGAGGAATCTTTTATTCACAGTTTTTACGTTCCATTTCAACTTTTACTAGTAAGCGGGGAATGTAGTGGAGACGCAGGATTACATCATCCGGATCGGTTCGGCCGAATAAAACCGGAAAATGACGGCCGGTCCCAACAGTGCAAAACTACCAAATAACAAGGCCGAGTCGTTACTTGTTTACTTCTTGAACAGCTGTACTTCTATATGGTGTAAATCAGTATTCCACGGGTTAAGAAATGTAGGCGTTAAGCCTAAGTGGTGAACTGTGTACATTCCACATGGAAATAAGCACGTTGTAATAAATATATTGTATACTATTGATAGTTCGTCATAGTAGGCGATTGTCGATTATGTTGATTCCCTAACTACATCGGTTGCATGAGAGCCTTTTCATGGAAACGCACTGGATTCGCTATTTACTCCGTATGATGTCGTTCTTTCAAATGGGGTTCCCTTAATAGCACCGTACAAAGGCTTCTATTCGGAGCCGCACACTACGTTTGCCCCACTATAGTGAGCCACAGAAACATACCAAGATGTATACGTAACGTAAGATGTATTGATGTTTAGCCAAGTCCTCGCGTTATGCTGGGCGCGAGCATCTAAGAGCGAAGTAAGAGGCTTTCAATCCGAAAGTATATACCAACCGTTGTAACTATTGTCTCGCCAGGTTTGTTCTATGGATAAGAAATACTTTTATTGTCTGTTTGCTTACTTCTCATAAATGTGTTTTGCTTTTTGTCACTGTTTGGCGAAATTGTTACAGCATTATGGAATAGAGTAAACTTGCGAATATGAGTTTCGATGAATAATGTTTAATCCATTGAGTCGTTGGACAAATGTGCTAAAAGAGGCAATTATATAGCTATTGAATAAGAAGAAGAAATGATTCACCCAGATCGAGTATGTATAGTAGCGAGGTATGCGATGTTACTTAGCTAGCTCTACATTTCCTACCAATAGACATAAATTGTGTAGAGACTCATGGCAGGATATGCTTGATGGTTATTAGATAAGCGAGGAATAATGAGCTGGCGAGTCTAGGGTAACGGGTACGTACTGACTACTTCGATGCAGGGTTAGGGTCAATTTTTGTGGGCTAATCCTTGCTCTACATACGAATGCGCACGACTATCGGAAAACATGTCATGTACGTACAGCAGACTCTAATACCTAGAACGAGAGATATTCTAGATAAAAGCTAAGACTGAGACAGCTGGAAGCGACCATATGCATTGGAAGCTCAACTCCTGGTTTTTATCTTTTCTGTTTAAACAAGTAGTCTATACGAACGAAAGGATGCGCGTCGTACTCTTTCTCGAATATCTATAGCCCTGCTTTTAAAAAGACCATGACCATAGTGAGGAGCGACCTAGTTGGTGAACAACTAAGCGATCAAAAACTTTTGTTGGCGGAATGCGCAGGGGTACCTAGGAGACGTTCCCCTGTCCTCTGGGCTAAACTTTAAGGCGAGATCATGTCAGGTATTTCATCTAACAGGTATTCCTAGCGAATCGAATTAATGCTTGAATATAGACGTCCAACGTGCTTTTGTCTCTCAAGTCTTAACATATTTTGTCTTGTTTGCAACATAGCCGTTGTGTACCAAGCAATACAGTACAAAGGCTCAAGACCTAAAAGATGCACTCAACAATGTTAGGATTGGTCGCGGCTTCATTTTCAGAAAGGCATTCTCCAGGTACCGTGTCTAATTCGCACTGCCCATAAAAATGTCCTTGTTCGGGTAGGCTTGGCTATTTCCGGAACCGCTTCCAAATTGGTCGCTCCCATCTTTGGACAAGCAGGGACAGGGGCATCTAGTATCCTCGGGGACTCGTCGAGTGCGCCCTCTGTCTAATCCGAGTTTAACACGACTTAGATCGGTATTTCGTCGCAATAGTTCGCATGGTGCCATTGAGTCGGTACCCAGTAATGAGCCGCCTGTTAGGCGCCATACTCGGAGCTTTTGTTATCATGGGGCCTTGGTTGGAGGTTCCTTTGCCTCCAACATGCTTTAACGATGGCAGGTGGTATCCTTCTATCAACTTGCTCATTAGGGAAGCTGCCATCATACTCCGCACATGCGTCGTCACATTTCCCATTATCGCACCAAGAATTACGAAGCTGACACCGTGCAGTGAACCGCGATTATGTGTCATGACCTTGTTCATCATCATGTCAATCCCACCAATTGCCTCCTGCAACCCAAGAGGGGTCAAAAGTTGCCTTCTGAGAACCGGAAAGTCATGACACTTCGGGGATCATGTTAGGTTAGCTTGAATGGGTAGATTCGTGTGGCGGGGTTATTTGTGGGTCTATTGGTGGCGTGCTTATGGTCGCGCATAACGTTGATCATGTTATTGCCCAAAAAGAGTCGGACAATTTACACTAGAGCAAAATATCCCTAAATAACGCCGAGATTGCTATCGGTGTAGCAGAGAATAACCGCTACACAGTGGTTAACGAATTTGCACAGTGAAGAAGCGCATCGGCTGTCAAGTGCTTCGGTTACGATACTCCGGGCCGGCCAGAACATCAAAGCGTTGCGATGGAAGAGTTACTCCTATAAGCCTTGCTACCTTCCAGTATAGTCCATAGTGCGTTTTCTAATACAACAATACATCGGCCGTCTCTGGCCCGAGGGTAATGTACGGAAAAACCCCCCTCTACCGTGTATGCATGAAGATCCCCTTCCAAGCCTCGTTTACACCGGCGCCCCTGGTTTACCGAGCTGGCGCCAGGCGATTCCAAGTAAGTGTCTTTGAAGCACACCACAAGTATAGGTTCTTGCGTGCAGATTGATAACCGGTTAGGCTACCCCAAACGTCATGGTCGGCCGGTTGTTTGTACCAATTTGCTTGGTGGAAAGAGCACGAAGCCGGGTAAATGGATAGGAGATTCAGATACATATCACTAGTATTTCGTGTCAAAATGAAGCAGGCCAGGCGTTCTAGCTGGTTGCGATAGCTTCCGCTCTTTTTCTTGTCTCAGAATGAGGAGGGCTGTTGTTGGCCTAGCTGGCCTTTTCAGCTACACACTCGCACAAACCAGCTCTGTGAAAGTCAGTTGGATTGACGACACTCCCGGATACCTGGATGGAACTACATTTGGCGTACCTTGGTCTCGTGGACAGCACTCAGCAAACACAACAACCTTCACGATCAATGGCGATGCGAACCTTCAGTCATGGGTCACTGCGTATTGGCCTGATGGGAGTTTGAAATGGACTGGACATGCTTTGGGAGCCAGCGACTCTCCTCTTGATCAATATACCATCACAGCAACAACTTCAAGTGATTCAACTTCATCTCGTTCTTCGAAGCGTGCCGACGGTATTCAAGTCAACGACTCTGATGACGAAATCGTAGTCGACAATGGAAAAATCACTGCAGCATTTCCTAGATCAGGCAATGTGCTCGTTTCTAGCATCAAATCCAGTGGAAAGACTGTCGGGAGAAACGGACATCTTGTATTGCGATCACAAACTGGTACCCCAGACGACGATGACGATGGCAAACCTATTGGCATTGACTACTTTAGCTTTACCAGCAAAATCTCCAACGTTACTGTATCCGAGGAAAACACTGCTCGTACGCTGGTCACAGTCAATGGCGTTCATACCATAAGTGGAAATGGTGCCCATGAGGACTGGCTTCCGTTTGCCGTACGCTTCTACCTCTATGCCAACTCTGAAGCGATTCGCATCATCCATACGATTATCTACGATGGCAATATGTACAGCGATTTCATTTCTGGCATCGGTATCCGATTCGATGTGCCTCTGGCGGAAGATCAATTCTACGATCGGCATGTTCGTATCGCAGGTGTCGATGGTGGAATCTTACATGAAGCGGTCAAGGGCATCACGGGTCTCCGCCGTGATCCAGGCCAAGATATCAGAGCAGCGCAATACAATGGCACAAAACTTCCGGATCCTTCGACTTGGGATCAACGCGTAACTACCCGTCTACAATGGATCCCGACATGGAGTGATTATCGTCTTACTCAACTCTCTTCAGATGGCTTCAACCTCAAGAAACGCACCAAGGCTGGCCGGAGTTGGGTGAAGATCCCAGACGGAACGAGATCAGGCGGTCTTGCTTACCTAGGTGGCGCGACTTCTGGTGGTCTTGCTATTGGTCTACGTGATTTCTGGAAAAAGTATCCGACTAGCCTGGACATCTCCAATGCTGCTACAGATACAGGATCGCTCACTTTATGGCTGTACAGCCCGCAAGCAGGGCCTTTGGACCTCCGCCCATACCACGACGGGCTTGGACAGGATACTTACAAGAAGCAACTTGATGCTCTTGAAATAACCTACGAGGACTGGGAATCGGGTTACGACAGTCCAGTAGGTATTGCGCGCACCAACGAGTTGTACATCTATGCTTTCGACACCACTCCCTCGGCTGAGAAACTCCCCGTGCTCACCAACTTCACGAACAACCCGCCAGTACTCATTCCAGAACCTAAATACATGGCTGACACAAAAGCACTTGGGTCTTATTGGGGCGTTCCAGGTGCAGTCAACTCTGCCCAAGCTCAAACCATTGAAAAGAATATGGATTTTCTCATCGATTTCTACAAAGACCAGATCGAGCAAAGGCGCTGGTATGGTTTCCTTGACCATGGCGATATTATGCACACTTACGACAACGACCGCCATCAGTGGCGATATGATATTGGCGGGTACGCCTGGGACAACTCGGAGCTATCACCCGATCTCTTCTTCTGGGACTACTTCCTCCGTACTGGCAGTGCTGACGCCTACCGCATCGCTCACGACCAAGTGCGCCACGGCGGCGAGGTTGATTCCTACCATATCGGCAACTTCACCGGTCTCGGTACGCGGCACGGCGTACAGCACTGGAGCGACAGCGCTAAACAAGCTCGTATCTCGACACCGGTATACCGCAAAGCTTTCTTCTACATCTCCGGCGGCGACGAGCGAACAGGGGATCTTGTCCGCGAAGTCCTCGACGCAGACCAAGCCTTCCTCCGCGTAGACGCCAGACGCAAAGTCCGCGATCCATCCATCATTTACAACCCGGACCCCACAGCTCTCTTCCTCAACTTCGGCACCGACTGGGCCGGCATCGCACAAGCCTACCTCATCGAATGGGAGCGCCACGGACCCCGCTGGCAAGACTCGTACAACAAGCTTGTCAAAGCCATTACTTCGTATCCCAAGCTCAAAAACGGCTTCGTAACCGGCGAGGCATTCTACAACAGCCTGACCGGCGAATGGGCGCCCCCTCCTACCGATCTCAACAACACAGGCCAAATCACCGTATCCCATCTCTCCGGCGTCTTCGGTGTCCTCGAGACCATCGATCAGCTCATCGACCATTTCGGCCCCGAACAGCGCAACTTGACCAAGCCGTTCTTCGACGCGTTCCTGGATTACTGCTACTTCTATGGCGCGAGCAAGGCGGAGCAGAAGGCACGGTACGGTAATGACTTTGGAAATCTCAATTTGAAGCAGGGTCACTCGCGGTTCACGGCGTATGTTGCTCATCATAGAAATAATGCGACGCTTGTGCCACGCGTGTGGTCCGAGTTCTTGGGTGATGGAAGCAAAGATGGTCTTGCACCCAATGCGCCGTGGAAAGCGGTTAGAATCGATGGGAGTGATGCGTTGAGTGCGGTTGATGAGGCGACGTGGGTTAGTACGAATGCAGCGGCCTTGTACGGAGTAGCGGGAATTGAGAATTTGGCACTGGTAGGGCCGCCGGATGTAAATATCATTGGGGGCGGTAATGCTACGAGCAAAAGATGGGCATAATTAATTTGTGCTGGGTATAATTACATTTGTTTAATAATTTAACAAAGAAAGAAGAGGTCCTAGTTTACACGCGCAGAAGTCCCTTGCCGGTTGGTGAATCTGGTTTAAGTTCGTAGATGTTATGAGTGCCAGGAGGGGCAACGACGTCAGTTGGCAATTTTTTGACCTCACCCTTATCCTCTTCCTTGAGAAAAAAATTCTCAGGATCCAGGCATTTAGCTGAGTTATCGCCTCGGTTGTTGGATGGATGGTAGTTGGATTTCTCCCTTGTTAGTCGCTTGAGAAGAGAGTAGTGAAAGAGTGCGCCGTCGGGAATGTCTCGTGCCGAACACTTGTTAAAAGGCAATGCGGTATAAGACCACTCACGTCCCACACTGCCTTTGATCTGTTTCAATTCCCAGCGTCGAATTGGCAGATATTCTGTTCAAATATGTTAGCTGAGCGCAGACTTGGAGCATGCGCATGACTTACCCATGAACTTCCACAGCATGACCTTAAATAGAGATAAGCCACCTCCGAACTGGAGAGTATCGTGAATTGGGCCATCGAAAGCTTCATTCAGCTTCAGAGAGAAATGCCTCTTGAATCCTTCCTTCCTCTTGTTCCATTTGATAGCTGCTGCTGGTTCCTCTGTTCCAATGTTTTCCAATTCACGGATCATCCAAGCAAGGGGCACGTCGCTCATTTGATAGGGATCAGTACCAGGGTTGGATGCGTTCGGGTTCTTGAAAGTTGTGAATACTCTGCGCCACCAGCTCCTGTCGTCCTTTCCAGCTGGCCATCCTCCACCGACGTCGCCGTGATTACCAGGGAACCAAACTTCCTTAATATCTTCCTTCTTATTGTGAGGGTGGGATTTGTCTTGCTGAAGCAACGCGGCCTTGAACTTGACACGGTGCTCGTCGACGGAGACGGCATGGCGAACATGACGGGCGGTTCCCACGACTGAGACGGCTTTGGGAGCTTTGCCAAATGGACTGTCCAAGACGGAAACACTACTGACGCAGTCAAACATGCCCAAGAAGTGCACTTTGATGCCGAAATCATCTGCGCCTTCTGAGCGACAGAATGTCGCTTTGAATGCATTGAGCTTGTTCTTTCTAAGCTGTTGCTCATCAGGTTCCGAGCAATCGTGTACGTCAGAGCCACCGTTAATGAGAGGGTCGGTTTCGTGGCATCCATGTGCTCCATCGGCTGATCCTGGGGAAGGCGGAGCATCCGCTCGCTCTTGATCAGGGACTTCTAGCTTTCCCTTCTCGTAATCCTGGTAGAGATCGTATGCAAAAGGAACCATCTCTTCGTTGCCTTCAGAGAGTAGGCCAACTCTGTAAATCATGCGTGCAAGGAAGCGGGCGGTAAAAGCACCCCTCGAGAAGCCGAAAATATAAATTTTGTCACCCTCCTTGTAGTACCGCATAATGAAGCGATAGCCGGCAATGACGTGAGCATCAAAGGTTGTGGCAAAGCCACTGTCTATGGTTTTGGAGATTTTTGAGCGGATAGAGCCCAAAAAAGTCTTGTTGACAGGGCCTCCATCGACATTGTATGTGCCGATACCAGCTGTGGAGTTGGATGTCTGGTTAGTTTAGCACTATAGTGAGTTTTCGGGTTGCTTACTTTGGTAGTAGTGGTACTGCAAAGGGTCCCTTCTGTCAAACTTGTCGAAGAGTTTGACTATGTTGGTGTCCGAGGTGTTGCCATTAAAGACGTTTCCCGTGCCATCGAAGCATAGGACGAGCTTCCTCGGTTTTTGTTCCTCAGTGGAATGGGGCATAGTAGCTGTTGTTCTTCTTGTAGTAAAAGAAGGTGATGTATTTCTCAGATAACAAAAGGATATCCTGTAATACTGGAAACGAGGGGAGGAGACGGCGGGTATAAAGGAACGAATCTTGAAACCTGTACACCAAGAAATACTTGGGATTAATGATTTTCTTGGTATGCTTTTATCGGTAGGTGAGAAGGTTGACAGCGCACTTATATAAAAGCAAGTAAGAGAGGAGTAGAGGGATAGCGTTATGTACGTGGCGATGTATGGATGGCATTGAAATCTAGAATTCTACTCACACGACACCATGTTGCAGGACGATGGAAAGAATGGCGAGTCAGGAATGGTTTGAAAGGAAACGGCTGCATTACTTACGTCCGTGCATTCGATAATGCTTTTTCAAGACAGCTGGGCACCTGCACGCTCACAGCTGATTTTACGGGTAGGCCCGGTGCGATAAGGCGGTAAGAAGCCAATCACCGGTTGAAAATCTCCAATCAGAGCAGTTACAAATGAGACCGTTAATGTGCTCAAAGTCAAATCATTGTTTCTTTTCCATACTGAAATCTCCTTGAAGAGGAGAGCCGAGTTGTGGCTGGCGGAGATGCCGACTAGCGGCGGGATCCCTCGGATATGGCACCAGCCCGACGCCTCCATTGCCATAATTGGTGGTTTTGCTCAAGGTATAGCGAGATCTGGCGTGTCACAAACAAAAGCAGTTGGGTGAAGAGGGGCATCTGATTTGGGCTCAGCCTTAGCGGTGGGGCTTAGAGCTGACTGCCAGTTCAATCCACAAACAGCAACAACCATAGTCAGTCGAGGTATAATGATTGACGAGATGTTGAAGATAGTAAACCTACCTCTGGTATAGTTCAAGACAAGTTCTGGGTATAACCCCACGCAAAACTATACTGCATGTTTTCACATGGGATAAATCATACAAGGGTCCTAGTCAAATTAGCGACCCCTACACCCCGGCCCATACCCCTGTATGTTCTGTAGGCGACGACACACACACACACACATGTGAGTACGAGAGGATGGTGTTGAGAGGATCCACACTTGCCTTACATCTAGATTTTGCACCGACCTTGAAGTCCGGGTCGGAGAGAGCGAAGGATATTGCTCCGCTCGCTTCGGTAAAGGCGACCAGTGTTAAGGGTACTTAACGCCACCAATAAAGCATCTTTCTTACATGCCGCCTGGCCCTTCAGCCTCGACCACGCGAACATGTCCCCACACGACTGAAATGCCATTGTAGCTGAGAATAGCTGACCATAGCTGAGGAATAGCAGTGCCTGGGCCTTTGGAGGCTTGCGTACGAGATGCCCCGATTACCCCCCCTGTTCATTACCCCTATCCCATCACGGTCGCTGACACAGTAAGAATGGGTGCGGCTGTGTTTACTAGTCTAGCTTCGTTCGTACTGTGTCAAAGCCACAGCGCCAAAACGGGATGAGGCTGGCGAGAGTCGTGCAAGCGATACCTCCAAATACAAGTCCCTTGAGAATAGCGTTGGATTGATTGAGATGAGACCGCTTGCCACTCACTACCCGGCATGTGATAGTACCCAACTGCCGATGGAAGCTGCAATCACAACCTAGGTCTTAGTTTCGACTAGGCTGGTACGCCTTACGCGAAGTCGATACGAGCAAGAGAAAATGTCTCATAGCATTGACCTAGTCCCGGGGCTTTTGCGCCTCGATGATGGCCTTCGAGACTCGCGTAGGCATCTTGTTGATATTGTGCCATCATGCTTTTGTCCTAACCCACGACATTTTCTTAGAAATAAAATAAGCGCAAACATGTCAAAAACGCCCTCATACCTCGGTTGGCACCACAGCATATTTTCAGAACCAGCATACCGTCTCTATCAAATAAATTTATAGAACAACCCCAACATGTACACGTTGTCAGATATTTCGCAAAACTCCTTGAACATCATGAATTCACGCTCTACCGCAAATACTAACCTACCCCATCATTCAAGCTACTACATCACACTCAATTATATCCTCCCCTCTCCCAGACCCAACTACTAGATATACCTTTACCAACTCCACCGCATAGCATCGCACCAAGATCCCACCAACCCCCAACCCATTACGTGTCACAATACCTAACAAGCGCATAACGCAAGCTTCTCCTCCATTTACCTCAACACATCAAGAATCTCACGTCCACACTAAAAACAGCCCATCAACAACCACCTCGACATCTCCCCCCCCCCAAAAAATCCCCCCAGACAATCCACCACACATATCCCACACACTCATACCGCATATTGCATTTACACCCTATTGCAAAAAAATTACATGGCGATTACCTACTCCACTGCAAGGAAACAGTGCAGAGGGTATTTAGAACAAAAAGTAGAGCGCGGGCTGCCGCCTTATTGACCTATAGTGGAGGATCATGTGTCGGTTTCCGCAGATTGAGAGCCCTCCGATACCTAGCTAGGTTACTACCCAATTTTTGAAGCGTCGCGACGAAAAGATACCACCAAAACCAGCACCCACGGGCGCAACGTACGGTTACCCAAAAATACATAAGTAGATAGAAGTCCAATAGATGGTTGTTAGCGTACTCCGCCAAGAATTGTCGCGATAATAACATTTTGGTAGTAGTCCACAGCTTCACCGCCAAAGAGACATCCAATTAACGATGTACAATTCAGCACTAAAATTGAATCCCTCTCGATTTCCCGGTTTTATCGCAGTACTACGTAAGGCGATTTTTCGTTCTGGTGCCGAAAAAGCGTTCTCGACTATTTCTCGTTGATTACCTACTACTCATTTTTCCCGAGAATGCTTCTGTATCTAGCTACTTCAGATACTCCCCATATTGATCAACACCTTGAATCATGAAAACAGCTTCATTTTTGGTTGGCACCCATTGTGGTAGGGAGTTGCATTGGCTGATGAACTGTCGCACGCACTGACCAGCAAGAGTACCCGTATTCAGCCTAGACCCGACGCGTCAGACATGCATTGGCGGTCGCGACGAGCTCAACGTCATGGCATCAAGAATTCAGACTCATTCCCAGAACTTCTATCCTCACGCATAGACATGGCACCAGCGGCCTCGTCTCCCTCTGCATCTCACTTCAATGAACCCTTTATATCGGCCCTCGATGCCGCTGCACCCAGCAATGCAAGTGACGATCCAAGTTACTATGCCCGGTATCCCCGGTCTCTCATCACTACCTCGAATATCGACACATTCATGACCGGGACCGGATCATCCATCTATGAATCTCTTGCTCCCATTCTCGAGGCAGCCGACCACGAGCTCATTCTCGTAACCTGTTTCTGGGCCCGATCAGCCAGCTTGGACACTCTCAATAGCGTGCTAAGAAAACTATCAACCAAAGCCGTAATACGAGGAACACACAAAATCAGAGTCCGACTTTGTTTTTCCTCTAGCTCCATATTCCAGAAACTCTTCCACAACCAAGGCGTCACAGGCCAAACATACCCACCCTCAACATGGGTAAAGAAGCTCGGCCTCCCGGACCCTTCAGAACTCCACGGCCTAAACCTGGAAATCAAATCCATCTTCCTCCTCCCCTTTAGCGTCATGCACCCCAAATTCATCATCGTCGACCGCAAAACCGCAATCTTGCCCAGCTGCAACATAAGCTGGGAAGAATGGTTCGAAGGCGCCATCACCCTCACCGGCCCCATCGTCACGCAATTCCTAAAATTCTACCGCTCATTCTGGGAACGCAAAACAGACGACCCTTCCCCCCTCCCGTCTTCCTCCTCCTCTTCCACCTCATCAGACACTCCTCTCCACCTCCCCCAGCCCAAACAACTCCCCACTTTAAAATCCCACGTAACCCTCTCGGCCTCCCAAACCCCAACAATCTTCCTCCCCAGCCCCCACCACCGCAACCCAACCTTCTCCCCCTTGACCTCTTCAAAAACCCTCCAAGCCCCACCGACACCCTTGAACCTCTTCGTCCTCACCTTGTTCTCAAAAGCGGAACGCAAAATCACCATTCAAACACCAAACCTCACCTCCCCACCCGTTCTCTCCGCTCTCCTCCGCGCACTCGCCCGCGGCATCGATGTCAAGATCTTGACTTCCAAGCGCCTCATGATCCTCGAGCAGCTGGTCACTGCGGGGACGACGACGGCGCGGTGCGTGCGCAAGTTGATACGAAAGTACCGTGCATTGTCGTCTGAGCGTCAGGGCTTGATCGATGAGGAGTCGGCGATTGCGAGTCCACACCCAGGGAGGCTGGTGGTGTCGTATTGGACGCCACTTGGTGGGAGAAAGGCGAGAGGGGAGGAAGGAGGAGAGGCGCAGCAGTCGCATTTTAAAATGGTGAGCGTGGATGACGAGGTCGTGGTACTTGGGTCTGGCAATCTGGATCGCGCGAGTTGGTTTACGAGTCAAGAGCTGGGTGTTGCGTTTTTCGGGAAGGAGGTTGTCAGTGGGATTTTGGGGGCCGTGGAGGCGGGCGGGAGGGGGAGGGGGAAGGTGGTGTTTGATAGTGGTGTTGAGTAGGCTATGTGTACTGCTTTTGTGTGGCATGGGTAATAGAATAGATGTGGACGATAGAAGTGATCAGATTACGTATTATTTATTTTCTCCCTACTATGTATCCATAAAAAAAGCCTATCCGTCGTTTGACCAGCGTCATTATATCTTTCATCTAAGGTTTCTGCGTGTGATCCAAGAGAAGAAGAAAAAAAGAGTAGAGTAGTAAGGCCCAGGCCCCCCGGTATATACAATAAACAAACGGTCGAAAAGTACCCGCAGTGCAAAAAGACCAATGCGTTTGGTACCGAGATTTGTCCCACAAAAGCAGCAGCCCGCGCACCACCGCCCCAAAAAAAGAACAAGAAACAACCCGAACACGAAACTCCCCCTCCCAAAAAAGGTAGGTTTTCTGTTCCACATGATCCACATCAGCACTTGACGGATCGTTCCCCATTGCATTTGTTTCCCCGAACCCCAAATGCAAAGGCGAGAACTAAGTTGCGAGTTATATGCCAAGGTAATCTAAGCCCAATAATAGCCTCTCCTCCTACATCCTCACCCCCTTTCCCAAAAAAAGAAGCTATCTCCATTTCGTTATCTGATCTTTATGTATATGTATATAGCAAGTGATGCTGCTGCTGCTGATGATAATGTTGATGAGGATATATGTGTGCTGGTCTGCGCCTGCAGAGCAGCTTTGATAAAAAAAATGTTGAATGTTGAATGTAATACTCGTAAAGGCGTCATATAGTCGATGATGGGTATGTTGGGTGAGCGGAAAGGAATTTCTACATGGAGCCCATTGCGATGAGGGCTTCGATTGCGTCACGTTCAGCGCCGGAATTGGTAAGAGGACTAGTCGTAGAGGATGCATTGAAAACAGTCGTGAGGGAAGAGCCCGCGTTCACGGCGTGATTACCGCGGGATGCATGGTGAGGAGCAAAGAAAGATTGGTGGTGCAAAGAGGTGGGCGTTTGAGTGCGCGCGAGCGAGTGCTGAGGCAGAGAGTGGGCCTGGGCGGATGGATTCCGGTAGCGCGGGTTGCTCGTCTGAGTTCGGCTTAGATAGTTGTAGTCACGGTGTTCTCGGCGCGGACCGCAGCGGGTCTCGCGAAGAGCTTCAGGCCCCATGGTCGCCCAGTCTTCCTGATCCGTGTCGTCATTTAACTCTTCCTCCAGCTCCATGTCCGAGGCCGAATCAGAGTCGGAACTGCCCTCAGAGTCGTCCAGCGACATCTGGTCCGCCATTTCTTCGTCGTCGTCCTGTCGGTGGGGTGACCATGAGCCCGCATTCCAGCTGCCAGCGTAAACGTCACGTTCCTGTCGCAGCCTCGGTATTTGAAGACTACCTCCTGTACTATCGACGCTGTCCGGCGGAGTCTGCCCATTTCCAGAGCGCTTGCCACCGATGGGCACTCCCTGGGCCTTTGCGCCAGAGCCTGCCACACTCCAGCGCCCCCAGCCGACCTTTTCAAACTTGACCTCGCCGTGGAGGCCGCCGCCCGCGCGGTGTTCCAGCGCGGCTACGACTAGCCTGCGAGCCTTTGCTGGGGGGAGTCCCGAGAAGCCAGGCACGGCATGAGTCAAATGGGCCATCATCTCGCGAATGGGCATTGCGCCGTGGCCGACGAGGATGTCTGGCAGGTGGTGCTTGGCCAGCATCAGCGCGGTGATTTGGCGCGTCGCGTCCAAGCCGGCCAGCGCCTCCTTGGAAAGAGCAGAGGGCTGGTCCTGGGCCGCCGCGTGCTCCACCGCGTCCTGAAGGTCTATTTCCATAGACTCGTCGTCTGGTGTATGGACACGCCCAGCCACAGGCATGGGGCGTCGCTTGTGTGCAGGCAGCGTGGGAGAAATGGAGCTGGGTGGCGTGGGCAGAGTGCCGGTAGAGGTAGCATGTCCACTGTCCTTTCGCCCAAAGGCCATGGCAATGTTGGACACGGGCTTGGGAGCAGCGGCAGCCATGGTTGTAGTTGCGAGGCAGGGGCTGACTGGGTGAGTCAAAGCGCGGGTTGCTTAGGAAGTCGCACTGGAAGCAGGATCCTGGGGACTAGAGAGTCAGGGGAAGTTAGCCGGGGAACTTTTTGGAAAATGGGGTGCTGTGGAGGCAAGCATATATGGTGGTATGGAGTGGTTGGTAGTAGACATACCTGGGAGTCTCGGATATGGGCTCTCTGGTATCGAGAGCAAGTTTGTTGTTGGACAGGAGGTGAATTTTGAGGCGTGAAATTTAAGACGGTGATAGAACTGCCTTACGCGACACAGGACTAAGCGACAAAGGGACAAAAAAAGGTGCTGGCGGTGTGTTGTTGTGGCCGGATGCAGCTGTGGAGCTCGACTCTATCACTATGGCCGTTCCGAGACGTCTTAGCGATCGGCGATGGGGATCAGCGAGTCGGTGTCGGGACGAAGCCGATAGCGTGTTCGGGCAGCAGCAGCGCGGGATCCGGAGGATGCAGGGGAGGAGGGTGAGCGTCGTGTAGTGTGTATAGCAAGAGCAGCAGAGCAGCAGAGCAGCAGAAGGGTTGAATATTCGAGTGTGCGATGTGTCATGAGTCTTCGACATGGCAGGCAGGGACTACGCCATGATAAGGCCCTCGCTCTCGCTGGCCATCCCCCAGGGCCGCTGCAACCAAGGAACACAGGTGCATCTGACAACCCCCCAGGCGGGAAGCCACGGCCGGCGCCCCCCTGTCCGCCCGCTGATTGGCTCGGAAGCGACTGGCTGCCTCCCACCACCTCGCACCTCGAGCAGCCGTCATGGAAATCATGGGAATTGGCCCCTCGCCCCCCAAGCAGGGACTCGGTGCGTAGAAGCAGGGCAACACTACGCAACACGCCTTAGCCCTACATGCTACATACATACATCCATACTTACATACTAGGAGTACTAACTTCACCATGTACCGGCAAGAACAGTCCCACGCCGCCACACCGTCTCCCCCTCAACTTGCCGTGGCCATGCTCCGACGTTGGCTTCATCGTGACCCGTTCGCAGCCGATTACAAGGCCCATATCAGCAACCATCCATATCGGCTCCTCACGCTGCGCCATCCGTCTTTCCATGCCTCGCGCCCACAACCCCCCATTGGCGTTATCGTGCCGCGGGGGTCGTCACGCCGCCGCCAAAAAAAGGTCCGACTTCGCTGTACTCTACGCAGGTTGAGGTGACAAAACTCCGCAGTAGCAACACCCTCGACACACGTGTTTGTCCGACAGGCTCGCTCTGCAAGACATCCAGCCCGTAACGCACCAACATGCCCCATAACCCGAGGCGTGACGTGAGCACTGCGACATGCTGCCCCGCGTGGACAAGCCCTCACCCGTGATTCGCGTTGACGACATACTTGGTGATGGCCTAGCCACACGCATTACGTTAGCGATCCCACTACACATGACAATCTTGGCTCACACAATAATAACAAAGAAATTCCGACACGTACCGATTTCAGCACGTTGATCTGCTGCACCGTGCGATTGAACACTACCCGATATTGCTCCAGGTTTTGTTGAACAACGTCGTTGCGCGTGCTGCGGCCTTCGCATATCGCCTTCATCTGCTCCTCCATCTGCCGGGCTTTGTTAGCGAGTGTCTTGGGCCTTCGCCATTCACCACCCCACGTGCATCATCACCCCCATCCATTACTTACCTGCTTACGGAGAAACGGCTTGCTCAGGCTCGTCTCAAACCCCACATTGTCGTACCCCTCAATGAGCGCAACCCCCAGCGTCGTCGGGATAAACTCTTGAACTCCGCCCGTGTTCCCTCCCCCGGCTTGTCCTGTTGCTGCGCCGCCTCGCCCACCACGCCCTCCACGCGAACCTCTTCCTCGCCCTTGCCCTCTGCTTGCTGCTGCACCATTCCCACCACTAGCACCAGCGCCCCCACCGCCTTTGGGCCGCGCAATCACATATTCGCGTTCCTTGATTGTGGCAATGTGCTCGGCCATGGTTGCATCCGTACCAATTCCGTTGGCGTCCATCAGTGCGATCAATTCGGGCTCCGTAAGGTAGCTTGGCGCCGTCGTCTGACCATCAACCATGTTCACCTCGGTCGGCTTAAGCTCTTCTCCTACCGCATACTGTGGCAGCACCTGACTGCTCTCCCATTTGTCATACGGGTACACGTCTAGGTAGTTTCTTGCAATGACCCGGAGGCCGTGCGCATGGAACACTTCCCCTCCGTACTCAATTTCAATATCTGTAGCCTCACCAACAGCATCTTCGGAGCAGCAAGCTAGGAACCGGCGAACCACAAATTCATACACTGCACGCTCCCGGTCGTTGAGCTGTGTAGGTGCCACATAGTTTACTGGATGGATGGGAGGATGTGCTTTGTCGTTGTTGCGCCCCTGGCGAGGCTGCTGAAAACCACCATTCATCAGATGTTGTGCGAATAGCCCCCAGCGACCATCTTGAGCCTGCCGCCCCACAAGGGTTCGCAGGTCCATGCCGCGATCAAACTGGTCCGTTTCCGTGCGCGGGTAGCTGATCCAGCCTTTGGTATACAAGTCCTCGGCCACCTTCATAACGTCCTGCGACGTCATGCGAAGAAATCTGCTTCCATTCTTTTGTAGCTCAACAGTCGTCAGAGGCAGCGGCTTCCATTTCTTGGTAGGTTTCTTTGCCATCTTCGTCACAGTTGCAGTCTTGGAAAGCAGACAGCGTTCCATGATGAGAATGACGGCCATGCGGTCAAACAAGTGGCCCCGCCGCCAGTTGAATTTGACATCAATGCTATCCTTTTCGTGTGTCACCTTGATGTACCAGAATGGCTCTGGAACAAAGTTGCGCACTCGCAAATAGCGGTCTACCACGAACCCCAGAGTTGGAAACTGGCAAGAGCCGTAGCTGATTAGCTTGCCTCGCTCTTCGCCTTGCTGGGGGATCATGTTCTGGAGCGCTAGCGTCTGCATTCGCGTAAATGCGGCTCCCAGTCGCAGATCCAGCTCAATCCGCGCCGAGACGGCCTGCGCCTGTGCCTCATCCAGACGGATTGGATTCTGTGACGCTTGAATGACATGTCTAAGACAAATTAGTCAACTGCTTGCATATGAAAGAAAGGTAACACAGACGCTCGCTCGATATTGCTGAAACGTGCTCGCCACACTTGCATGTTTGGATTCGCCTTGAGTGCAATGTCGCGGATCTCGGTCCCAATGTGCTCGCCCTCACGGTCACAATCGGTCCATATGAACAGAATTGACGCGTACCTCGCCTGGGTCTCGATGTTACTCGCCACAGCTTTCTTGTTCTGGCTACGGGTCAGTGGAGACTGGTGAAACGACGGTCCTGCCACGCACCTCTGCTATTCCAGACACAATCGGTGCTTCGAATAGAGAGACGGGCTGGCATGAGTGCCATTTTCTATATCTGTCGTTAAACTCCTGGCTGACAATGTGACCAGCAACACAGGTAAAGGTGACAGAACACTGGCCCCAGTTGTTGAAGCGAAAATCAAACTTGTAGTTCTTGACCCATTGGATGCCCCGAACGCTTTCCTGGTAGATAATATCAGCCGTCCGCCTCAAGAAGCCTGATGATAGGTATGCAACTCACAGCTCGGGGTTGCCCACCGAGATGGCCTGCAACTGCCTTTGCGATGGAAGGCTTTTCTGCCACGCACAACACCCGCGTCATGCCTTTGAGTTTTGTGTATATCTATCTAAGAGAGGCAACATGGCCAAGGCAAAGATATTCACGGTCATGTGAAAGCGCGTCAGGCCGATGCAGAGCGCGTCACAAAGCTGCACGGGCGCTCTTGCAGGGCGCTAAGCCATTCTTGCTCGGGGACAGCAGCGACTCATGAGGTCATGTCCGCCTCCAGATTTCATACTTACTGCATACCTGCATGTGCATGTCCATACACACATACACATCCCCTGTCCGCCTTCCACGAGCGAGACATTGAAGCTACCTGGCACAATGCCTGACCCGCGCACTTACCTCAACATGGCGATTCCGGTGGTCACCTCACTTCCCGAGTGTGCCGATTTCCACAAGACAGTCGAGCCGTACCTACCGCAACTCTATGACCTGCCGTACCAAGTCGTAGCACGTATCTCGGACGTTCAGGCGCTCAAGGAGCTCTATCTCAGCACTAACCCGCTCATATCTTCATTCGCCTTTGCCACCCTTTTCCTCTCGCCTGCTGTCCTTGTCCTTTCCGAAATCAACCGCAACTACTCGCAGGTCGACCGAATCTGGAGCTTGCTACCTGCCCTGTACAACATACACTATGCAACATGGGCACATTTGAACGGCCTGCCAGCAACAAAGCTAGATCATGTCATGGCTGTTTCCATCATCTGGAGCGCTCGCTTGACCTTCAACTACTGGCGCAAGGGCGGATACACGATTGGAAGTGAGGATTACAGGTGGAATATTGTAAAAGACTACATTGGCGGACCAGCCATGTTCGTCATGAATGTCGTTTTCATCTCGTTTTATCAGAATGTAGGTGCACATATATGCCCAATTGACACGTAATCTAAGGCCTTACTGACAACAAATAGTTGCTCCTCTGGATCATTACAACACCCACGTACGTTTTGCTTCTCGCAAATAGAATCATTGGTAACACCATCTCTTCGTACGACTCCCTCTTCGGCCGATCTATGGTCGCCCTTGTCGTCCTTGAATTCTTCGCCGATCAAGCACAATGGAACTATTACGCCGCTAGAGACGAATACCGCAACACTGCCAAAGTCCCGGCTAACAAGAAGTACACGCGCGAACAACTCGACCGCGGCTTCAACACCACCGGCCTCTTTGCCTGGTCCCGCCACCCCAATTTTGCCGCCGAACAAGCCTTTTGGGTCTTCTTGTACCAATGGTGCTGCCTCGAGACGGAGACGTATTACAACTGGGCTGCTATCGGTGCAGCCTTATACTTGGCCTTATTCCAGGGCAGCACCTGGCTTACTGAGTTGCTGAGTGCGGGCAAGTATCCTGAGTACAAGGTTTATCAGGAGCGTGTGAGCATGTTTCTGCCCAAGTTGGGCACGAAGAGTATGGAGGAGCCGCAGACGGAGGTGGAGAAGAAGAAAGTCAAGGATGCCAAGGCTGGGAAGGGGGCTGTCAAGGCGAAAAAATAGAGATGTGAGTTTTGTTGCGTGTTGGCGATGGGGTGTGGGGGGGGGAGGGGGGGCTGTTGGCATTTTGAGTGCAGTTTTCGAGCTGCGGCTATGTGTTGAGGAAAGAAGTGCGATATCATATCATTAGTATCCGGTATGTGAATAATCACATACAGCACAGAAAATAATTTAGGATAGCAATATGGGAAAACAACCTAAACTACCATGAAACAATCCTATAGCTTCGGTCTTCTGAGATGCATTTGATTGAGAAAAAAAACCCCCAAGATTTATTAAAACTAGCAACTAAAGCAGATAGTGGAAACAGTAAGTACGGGTAGCTATTCTCAGCTTCAACTGTCGATTCCGTTACGCAGCGCCAGCATGAGCGACATACCTATCACGCCGTTCTTATCCCTATCCTATTGAACACCCAGCGCTTTACTATAGAATTGAAGCACTATATACATCTACTCCTTGCCATCCTTTGACCACACCCTCACCATAACCTCCCTCTGCCGATCGGTCGGATGTCTGGCGTTCAATTCCATGCATGTTCTGTGTTGAAGATATTGGGTGGAGATTTTGATGGGGCAGATGGCGGTGCAGTAGCTCCACTGCAGGGGTCCCCATGAAGCTACTAATCCCTGCCAAAATTTCCAAAGCTTTAAAACCAAACGACATCATCACCACCACCATACTGAGATACCCAACAGAGAGTATCCGCGCACCGTCCAAATGCCAATCTCTGTCCTACCATTTAGCGCACTGCCGCCTCCAAGGCGCGATGCAAACGATGAGTCTGACTCCGATATTGAAATGGGCGACGACGATCTTGCGATCTCGTCTTCCAAATCCATCGTCACGCCCGGTGAACATATAACCTCTGATCCACAATGGATGCGTGGCCATGGCACATATATTCCCTCACAGCCAGCCGGATCGACAACCATAATATCCACCGTGGCAGGCACCTTGCACAAAACTAACAAACTGCTATCCGTGCAACCACTACGCGCCCGCTACCAACCCGAGATTGGCGACCTAGTCGTCGGCCGCATCATGACCGTAGGAACCAAAAAATGGAACGTAGACATCGCCGCGCCTATGCTAGCCAACCTTCCACTCTCCAGTATCAACCTCCCCGGCGGCGTGCTCCGCCGCCGTACAACCGTCGACGAGCTCAACATCCGAACCTTCTTCCAAGAAGGCGATCTCCTCGTCGCCGAAGTCCAAAGTTTACACCAAGACGGCACCGCCTCGCTGCACACACGCTCCCTCAAATACGGCAAACTCCGCAACGGCGTCTTCACCAGCATCACGGGTGCAGGCGGCGGCATCCTCAGCCGAAAAGGTGGCGTAGTCCGCAGCCGCCGCCAGGTCTTCACACTAAACACGGCGGCCGGCGAAATCGACATTATCCTCGGCGTCAACGGCTACGTCTTTGTCTGCAAACACATCACCACTAGCGCCGACGCAAAGGAAGTCGGCATCAACAGTCTCGACGAGTCCGCAATCGAAACGCTGTATTCGAGCCAAAACGACGATATCGAACCCGGTCTTACCCGCGAAATCTTGATGGTGAGCACCCTGATTCGCGGCATGGTGGCGTGTGGGACCAAGGTGGATGAGGATCGGATTGTTAAAGTTTACGAGGGCGCGGTGGAGCTGGAGGCCGAGGAAAAGGCGCTGGGGACTATGGAGCGGGGGCCGGGTGGCACGGCGCTGGTGGAGGCTGTGCTGGCAAGGTTGGAGCTTGGGGGTGGGGAGTAGTACGAAAAAAAAGTATTTTTGGGAGATATGTGGGGAAGGAAATGTTGATATAGTGGGGGGTTGAGAGGGTAGTTGGGTAGGTGGACGGGTGGAGATGGTTGTTCCAGTTACGAGTCGGGGGGGCCTATGGAGGAGACGAGATACTTTTCACCCTCCTCCTTCTTCTTCTTCTTGTCGACATAGCTGGCAGCGTTTTAAGAAGGGTACATTGGGCCCTCGAAATTCACTAGAATTATTGAGAAAATCTCAAGAATCACATAATTCGTCTATACCAATACAGAGAAGCCTGTTTACTCCTTACACCACATTGCCAAAAAGAAAATTCGCAAGATTACAAGTTTCCAAATCTCTCTTTACGTACTACCTTTTTTTTTTCCCAACTTCCCTCTGGAAAATCAGAAAAGCAAAAAGCAGAAATCAAAGTTCTCTGGAGAGCGGTTGAGTTTATCAAAACGAAAATCCGGTTTCTTTCAAATCTCCAATGTCTTTTTTTGTTTTTTTTTTTGCAATTAAGGATTTTTTTTGTTCACGTTTGAGTATCGAAAAAGGGGGTTTCTTGACATTTTGCATGTTTTTCTAATAGAAGAATCTCGTATATCTGGCTCCTTTGTATACCCCATGTCACCAAGTCCATTTCATCGTCATAAAGCATTAAATCCCCGTATATAAACTATACAACCAAAGCCTCCAACCCCCTAATCCTCTCAACATCCCCACCCGCCTCCAACACCGCCTTCATAGCTGCCTGACTCAACTTCCTCCTTCGTTCCGCCGCCTCCCTCTCGCGCCGTGCTTTCGTCTTGCTGCTTCCGCTCGGCGCCACGCCAGTGAGGATTTTCCTGCTGTCTTCGGGTGTGAAGTTGACGAAGCCCGTGTTTGCTGCGGTGATGCGGGAAGAAGGGTGCGAGGAGGAGGTTCTGGAGCGGCGGGGGCGTGAGGTATTGGGTCGGGTGCGTGGGCGGGGGTGGGAGTGAGATTTGCGGGGTGGAGAGGTTGGGGAGGGGATACGGGATGTGAAAGAGGAGGGAAGAATGTGCGCGGGGAGGGCGGTGTAGTTGAAGGGGGTGGGGTCGCAGGTTATGCCTAGGCCGTGGAATTCTGTGTTTTGGCTTGTGAAGTAGGTAGTAGCAGTAGACTCGCTGTTCCACCAGCTAGCCGTGTCGCTGGTGTCGACTAGGTCGGGTGACGCTGAGAAGTCAAAACCTAGTGTGGGTGTTGTGTCGGGAATCCACGGCTTGTTGGCTAGTGGAAGGGATGGCGGTGGCGTCAACAAGGCTGAGATGACTGCACTAGACGTATTGCCAGGGCTAAAACTGAGGTCGATATTGCTATTGTGGTGGTTTGTGTTGGATTCTTCCGTTGCTAGGGAGGCTGAAGTGGTTGATTGGTAGTGTGAGAAATACTGTTCGTCATTCGTCGGCAGTAGCGAATGACCAAGAGTCTGCACCTGACTGTAGTCTTGGACAAGAAGGCTGTCTTTGTTCTCATGCTCGGAAAACTCAGATAGCGTAGCAAGCGAAGCGGGCTCTTCAGATCCAGTTTTCGAAACGATGTCTACCGAGGTCGCCTGGCTGTTCCAAAGATCCGGGGTATAAGGACGGGAATAAGAGGCCTGCATCGTTATGGAAGAAGGCTTTGTTGGTAACGTCTTTGATGAATTCCTGATACCACGATATTTCATATGATTCTGAAAGGCTACAGCCTTCTCGAGTGACCGACGGAATGTGTGGGGTCGCGGTGTGCAAGGCTGGGACATGGACCGCAACTGTTCTCCGACTGATCCAATAACTCCTGGAAAGCTCAACGACTCTGAGTCGCTGTGATATTCTGCAGCAGAAGGAGAAGTAACGTATGAGGGAGAGGCAGAATAATCGGACCATGGTGAGGCGAAGCTCTGGTCACACTCCTGGAGAGCCTTGTGCCAAACAGTCTTTGTTTCCCGATTGAGTATAGATTTAGCCCCGAATATGTCACTGTCATTCGACGAAGCGATCCCCAGGAGACACGCCAGTTCATCTGGGCTGGATTGAGCAGACGATGAGTTGTTGAAAGGGCATAGGAGATCCGTGTCGACATAGCCCTCGAACAAGTTGTCCAGGTCCACACCCTCTGGCTCGCTGTTGCAAATTGATTGCATTGACATGATGCTGCCAGAAGGACAGTGCGGTACTGATCACAGTAAAATGTTATTTGAGAAGTAATCGACGCGGTTGATGTATTCGAGACTAGGCGGGATATGTCGTGGAGCGAACTGGGTGAAGATGCGGAGTGTAAATAGACAATCGCGACGCGATACTTGTATCTAATTAACGAAGGCGGGAGTATTCGTAGGCCTGCAGGAACAAGATTTATGACACGATAATCATGCGAAGACTCAAACATTTCGAACAAACCCCACGAGAGATATATGATCTCACACGTCCAAACGTGGCAGAGGCTTCCAACGGCCATCTTTCACGCAAGGTGTATCCCGTCTAAACTTAGCACGCTAGGACATATTGGGTTGACCTAGGGTGGGTTGGATAAACGATGAACTAAGCCTCAGCCCTTTGGTTTCAGGTAGTGTGGAGGCACCTGCACTGCCTGAGTGTCAACAGTGGCATACTCGGAGGTGACCGGGATGTCTGGATACTCCATAGCAATGGTAGGCACACAGTGTATGTATTCACACACATAGCACTGGGTCACTCGTCTAGTCTAAGTTTTCTAGTCCGCGGGTGCCTGTCATGCAACAATCAGCTTGTAGTCTACTTCTTTGTCGACAAGTGACTTCTTTGTATCGAAGGATATCCGACTCGCATGTGAGGTCAAATGGAGAATGTGGGAGCTGGTTCGGAATATGGTGGTTTGGCCCATGTGAGGCCGTTGATGAGGCATAGTTATGAAATCATCCACGATGACGTTCATTGCAGGTGCCCAGTTGCTACGGTAGATTGCCGTATCATTCCGGCGCATGGCGATAGATACAACATTGCCGCACGGGAATAGTTTCCAACAATAGCGATATTTCTGAATAGTACTAGGCAGGTAAATTGCCTGTGTGGACGAATACCAGGAATAGGCTGGCAACCTGGGGCATGGCTTGACTAGGGCGAATCCCGGGAGGGTGGATCAAAGAAAATGCCTGCCTCTGCAGGGTCCTGCTACGCCATCGAATGAGCTCTGGCCAAGAAATTCCGCCGGCGGATGTCGGGCACAGCACAAAAAATCACACGTGTGAGCAGGTTAGGCACCAAAGCGGTGGTAATCATGGCAAAGCCATTAAGTTGTCGAAAAGTTCAAAGCGCGGCTGAGTTATGGGATGCGGCCCCTTTTCGTCCTCGAGAAAGTGTCGGCACGGGTCGAAGGAGTCAATCCGCGGTATGCTGTAAACTCAGATGGTGGATGACAAGTCTTTCATTGTTTGTGGATGAATGCTGAGCGATGATGGTCAATCGTTGTCAGGACGAACTGATGGGGAAGGGATGGATGGTAATGTGATGTTGTGTACCTGCGCACGGCCCAAGTTAGTAGCGCGCCAGCCAAGCACCAACTCGTTGCTTTCATCCCATGTCAACAGCTTGATGTATCGAATCGCAATAGCGTCCACAATTGCGTTATTCGTGTCATCGGTTGTTGTCCAGACTGTAGTTGTTCTCTGATAGGCTTTGTTATAGCATTATGGACCCCGACGAGCCCATTGCCAACGAGCCTCAGCCCTCCATCTTTCGCTGGATCCTGGGCTTCCTCATGGTTGGCGCATGCTGGGGACTCACGACACCCTTTATGCGTAAGGCTGCAATGTACGTTAATTTCCTTCCGTCAAACCTTATGTCTTACTTTACGGACCATTAGCCTATCGGACCATGCTGACCTCATCCCAGGAACTATACGCCGCCCCAACGCCCTACCCTTACCGATCCGAACAATTCATGGCTCAAGAAAAAAGTGTTGGGTGTATTTTATGCTGTGATTGGAGTACTTAGTCGACCGGCCTACGCAATACCATTGTTGCTCAATGTCACTGGAAGCGTGTGGTTCTTCATATTGATCGGCAAGGCGGAATTGAGTCTCACGGTGCCCATCACAAACTCACTCGCTTTCCTGTTCACTGTGCTAGGTGAATGGTGGGCAGAGAAAAAGGTCATCAGTAGAGGTACGTTTAGGCTCGGCTCGTTTAATAGTTGTGCGGCTCAGAAGCTGACATGTCACAGACACTTGGATAGGCATGGCATTCGTGCTCGGAGGGATCGGCTTATGCGTACAAAGCAAGTCGTAGTAGATAAATATGTTATAACACGTTTACCAATCCTTTGCAAGTCTGTTGCTCGAATCCAGTCCGTTCGTTCCACTCGCTGCCGCTGTCTTCTCCTGATATAATTTCGAGAAACCCTGTGCAGGTGGTTGCAGCCAATTCCTCTCATCATACTTTTGGTCGCCCTCAATAACATGGAATGTATATATATTCCTGCTCTTTTCGCTCGTGTTCTTCTCACTCTTGTGGAGAATGTTGCCATGGATGAGGACTAGGGTTCCAGCCTTGACTTCGCCCATGTCATACTTTTCCTCCTTCTCTACCATGTCATACCCCTTCTCATCCTGAATCTCGGGTGTTATGCTGTTTGGGAACTTGGCCCCGTCATTGTCAATGAAGCCGGTTCCACTGCCTGTCCTCACAAACCTCTTTTCAATAGGAGCTCGCTTGTGGCTCCCCGCAGCGAAGCTCAGACAGCCGTTTTCTTTTGTGGCATCCTCGAGGGCATACCACCAACCCACCGCGCTAGGCGGGTCTGTGTACAGGAATGTGCTGTCCTGATGAGGTGGCACAGCACCGCCTATCTCGGGCTGCTTGCAAATAACCATGGATTGGAGAACCCGTGGATCGCGGAATCCCAACGAAGAGGCAATGGCAGCATTGCGATCCGAGAGAGAGATGCTGCGGAATGAAGGGGAAAGCTCGTGCAGATAATGACCAATCTTGTTGATTGCTCGATGTTTGGGCTTTGTCAGATTGCCGGATTTGTCAAAAGCGTCTGACATTGCATCAGCCCAGTTGGTCTCTCATAGACGTGACGTCAATTCAGCATATGAATCAAAACTTACCCTCTTCAAAGAAGAAGCGTACTTTGTCTCCGGATTCCAAGAAGTAGCTGTCCCCTACATGGTCCGCGCCGTCTTCACCACCAGTCGAGAATTTGGTCATGGGATGGTCATCCAGCGAGAAGTCATTGAGCATTTTGCTGGTGTCATTTAGGAGCTCTTTGACCGTGTCTTGTGACAGAGCGTCTGGTATCAGGAGATATCCATTTTCATTGAAGAAGGCGACCTGCTCTGGCGCGAGACCCTGTGCAGTTTGGACGGCCATGTTGATGTAGTAGGAAGTCCTGGGAACAATTTGCGGTGCTATGAGTTTTGCTGAAGCAGGCAAATTGGCAGACTTCTATCGTACCATCCGAGCCATGGCTAGCCGTCGGAGGTGGCCGTCGACTCACCAGCTGCCAAAAGCTGCCCCGCCACTGCCCCGCGTCGTCCGTTGCCGCTCTGCCAAAAGCTGCCCCGCCACCACGCAGTCTTGTCCTTATTCCTGCCCTCATATTGTCATGCTGCCCCTGTATTAATCCACGCAAAACGCCATCTTGGAAGAATATTTCTGCAACTGCGTCCCGATACCCGGGAAACGGTTCCTTTGACGTGCTGACGGCTGAAACGACACGTGGTGGCTCAGCCGGTTGCCGCACCTTGCGGCTCATCATGTCTTTTTTTAGATTTCATTATGCATATCTTGAGCCGCTCATCCCTCTCTTTTAAGGATCATCAATCCTGCAAAGTTTTCTTTACACTTCCACACCGAGTGGGCGGGTCGTTTGATGAAGCTATCACCTGTCTACATCAGCAAACGGAGCGAGATCCAGGGCACAATTGGATGGCCCCTTCATCATTATCTATATTCCTACGATGGCAAGCAGCGCGTATTAAAACTTCCATGATTGAATCATGCGCAAGTTGGAAAAACTGATATCAAGGCGGACTACGGTGACGAGTGGTTTGCAAGAGACGTTTCTTCTGGATCTACACATGTTCCTTTTGTTATTGTCCAGAGCAAGACAAAGAATTCCTGGCTTGGGTGGTGTGTGAACGGCACTTCCAAGATTGGGACCTCAGGACCGTCATAGAGCCTATGAAGCTACGAACCAACATTCGTTTCATGCTCCTGATGCTGTCTGTAGCTTGAGTCTGGCACCTTTTTCTCTCGTCAAGGAAATCATGCAGCAGAGCTCAGAACCTCGAAACTACCCGCAGGTAGTATAGCTTTGTCCAAAATTTTCTTACCACACAAAGCCCTTTGAGAAGCCAGGTGACTCGATGCGACCATAGTGCTTCGCACCATTATGGAGGTAATGGTGATAACGAACACACGGCTCCAAATCGGAGCAAAAAAACATCTAGTCTTTCTCAGGCGCCCAATTGCCCATGTCATGTCGCATACGATAGTTTAGTTTTGGGGGCCAAGTCGACACGTCCTTGGTAAACCCTGTCATAGATCTTGCGATTTGCCACGACTGCAGATTGAAACGATTGGTCCTCTCAATAATATCCGGAAATGTCAAAGCGGGGTTGCTAACGGGCACCGATTGAGCATTCATACTCGCAGCAAGGTCCTGTAAAGTTCAAATACAATCCATCTCTCTTTATGAGACGTGTATCGGCCTGATATTCATATTTTCAAACTGCCATTTCTTTTACTCGGCAATATACCACGGAACTGAATCGTTAGTGTTAGCATCGATCCATCTATACGAGAGGTAACGTATTTGGGTAATCTGGCCCGAGCACGTGCTAGCCAGATTGACAGACGTGGCTGATGCCTTTGCGAATCCACCCGCTCTGCACTCTACTGGAAGTAAAAGCCGGGTGCTGCAGGCCGCGTTCGGGGCAAGCTAGCAGACATCCGCGCGGAGTCAATAGCTCGCATTAAGTCGAAGCGAACTTGTGGAGCCCAACGGATTATCAATGGCTAGACTAGATGCATGATTCGGCCTGTCGTGCAACGAATTACATGGGAACTACAACCAGATTGGAGACCAAAAGGATCTTGGCAGGATAAGGTCTTCATCCAGTTGGTGGTTCTCGCGAGGACCTAGACCGTAACTCGAGTGCCTGACGCGTCCCCCCACGACTTGAAATCGCAGAGACCCACACATCCGCATTTGCCCTTGCCCATTGTTTTGTAAGCTTGTTAAATCTCTTACCTGTCACTCACCTACGATTCTTTCAAAGATTTGATTCGGTAGCTGTCGTGTTCAAATGTGACTGGTTTAAAATCCTCACCAATGCCTCATTTAATCCAGATACGAGAGCAACTTTGCCACGCCCACGACCCCTCCCAAATCCATGACCCAACGCAAGCTCTGCGACATTGCTTTTATATCCATTGAAACGTTCAGGAAGTTCTAAGCTCTTCGTGAGAGCAATTATCCGGTTTTTTGGTATACGCACAATCAAAACGGTAAAAATGTAAGAGCGCACATGCAGCTTGGGCCTGGCTTCACGTATCAGGCGTCCAACAAAGCTGCATGACCACCTTCTAACCGACAATCAACAGGCTCCAGCACATATCTGCTACATTCCCATAACCCGGATCAAGGGGGCTTTTTTCCAAGGTAGGGTGCTAACAGGATGTTTATATGATGCATTGATCAAAAGAGGGTACCCGATGTCGTGGAATCTAGATACTCCTGCCACACTACTAGTATCATAACAGTCACCACAGATTGCTCCATATACGTGCATGCATATGCAGCCTTCCCGTCTCAGGGATATGTGGAGCCATTCCCAGCTAGGCAACACGCCGCCTAACGCAGTATATAACCTTGTTCAGTTTAGACCCGATTGATACTATTCTTTTATTCCCCGCATTGTTTAACTTTCGGGCCTTTAAAATCTGGTCTTCCATCTGCACATGCCCTATTTTGGCTCCATCAACACACTCCTATAGCATATACCTTAAAAAACATCCAACTAATACGATTCTACACATGAAAGGATGATGTGTTTCTGAGAGTTCGAAACAATTCACTACGTCAGCCTTAAATTTGTTCTACCGAAGTACATGTGAGCGATGGGAGAAACAATTATAGGACCAAAAACCTACTAAGCAGCTGATCGCACAAAACACAACATCAGCGCAAAGCGCTTTTCGCAATGAAGCTCTCGAATACCCAAATAGGCTCCCAGCCAACTTCTCCCGAAACCAAAACTTTCGAGCCAATCGCAGTCGTCGGCTTTGGCTTTAAATTCCCCCAAGATGTAACAAACGCAGAGAGCTTATGGAAACTCCTCATTGAGCGTCGGTCGACCATGACCGAGATTCCCAAGAACCGATGGAACATTGATGGATTCTATAAGGAGAATGGTCATCGACCTGGCACTGTGAAGAATCGCGGTGGCCATTTTCTATCCGACGATCCAGCACGCTTCGATGCACCGTTCTTCTCTATTCAACCGGCTGAGGCAGAATGCATGGATCCACAGCAGCGCTTACTGCTCGAAACGAGTTACCATGCTCTCGAAAATGGTATGCGAATAACCCAGGATTACTGAAAACATATACTAATCCTATTCCCCTCCAGCTGGTATTCCTATGCAAGATGCTGTGGGCACTCGAACATCAGTTCACGTGGGCTGCTTATTACAGGAGTATAGCCAAATTTCTCAGAGAGATGCACAAATGCCTGGTGACTATCGTATCGTCGGCTCAAGTGGTCTAGCTATGTTATCAAACCGTTTGAGTTGGTTTTATGATTTCAGCGGACCCAGCATGACGGTGGATACAGCCTGCTCTGGTGGTCTTGTTGCTCTTCATCTTGCATGCCAGGAGTTACTTGCAGGAAACGTTAACATGGTAAGTCTAATCCCATAGCTCCCCCAAACAAAAAAAACAGAGAGAGATAGGAGCAGCATCTCAAAAGTGGTGGTGATATTTAAACTGATATGACGGTTTCGGCCCCCAATTTCTACCTGGGATAGATTTCAATCGTAAGAGTAGACTACTGACGATATCAGTCTCTTGTGTGCGGCACCAACTTGTGTCTGCTCCCAGACTCGACGGCCCTATTAAGCAGTCTCAACATGATGTCCAAAGACAGTGTATGCTACTCTTTCGACGAGAGAGCTTCAGGCTATGCGCGAGGCGAGGGGTTTGGAGTTCTGGTTCTCAAGCGGCTTTCAGAAGCTATTGCCGACGGAAACAACATCCGCGGTGTGATTCGGTCGACTGGTTGCGGCCAAGATGGCAACACTCCGAGTATTACATCGCCTAGCCAATCCGCACAGGAGCGCCTCATTCGCGAGACGTATGCAAGAGCCGGTCTCAGTCTTGACGAAACTCGCTACTTCGAAGCCCATGGAACTGGTACAAAGGCTGGAGACCCGTGCGAAGCTGCCGCTATCAATAGTGTATTTTCTGCTCGGACGCCTGAAGACCCGATTTTCGTTGGCGCACTCAAATCCAACATGGGTCACCCTGAAGGCGCTAGTGGTATCGCTGGGGTCATCAAGACGTTACTTGTACTCGAGAATGGTATCATCCCGCCGAATGTTTATCCTGAGCGCATCAACCCTGCCGTTACGGCCGCTGGACCGAACTTGCGATTCCCGCTGAAACCCGTATCATGGCCGACGAGTGGAGTCCGACGTGCGAGCGTGAATTCTTTCGGATACGGTGGAACGAATGCACACGTTGTTATCGATGATGCACTCAACTTTCTCCGCGAGCAGGGTCTAGAAGGAAGACAATGCACTGCAGATGTCCGAATGATTGAGGAAGCAAAACACGTCCATCCCTGCAACAATTCGACCCTGAGCCGCACTTCCAGCAACGAGAATGGCTCCGAAATTATGCCTTCTGGTAGCACAACCTGTGGCCACACGCCTTCTGGTTCTGCAGGTGATTACGACGAAAGCAATACTTTCCCTAATGAAAACAGCAAACATACCCCGAAGCTATTGGTGGTCTCTGCTTTCGATGAACGAGCAGTGAGCCGATCAATTGATGCCTTGAAGAAGTGGATGAGCGATCACTTGGATGATGAGAATCGCCGCCAAACACTCAACGATATCGCATATACTCTGGCAGAGAAACGTACCAAATTTCCATGGAAGAGTACTTGCGTGGCTTTCTCAGATACCCAGCCTGAATTGACATGGTCTCCGCCTGTAAGGTCGAAGCCCAATACAAATATCTGTTTCGTGTTCACCGGGCAAGGCGCACAATGGCATGGAATGGGTCGCGAACTCATGCGATACGATGTTTTCTCAAAAGCGATGCGAGAAGCTGACCAGTACTTTCGATCGCTGGGAAGTTCGTGGTCTTTGATAGGTATGGTCATCAACATCTTTCCAAGTCCATCCATCGAAGCTAATTACTACAGATGAAATATGCAACAAATCGGAGAGCGAAACAGCTATCCACAAACCGGAACTTAGCCAGCCGATATGCACAGCTCTCCAGGTTGCAATAGTTGACTTGCTAACTTCCTGGAAAATCCGAGCATCTATTTCAGTAGGCCATTCGTCTGGCGAGATCGCTGCTGCATACGCTAGCCACGCGATCTCACGCGAATCTGCATGGATGATTGCATACTTCAGGGGTCTTGCGGTCAGCATCACTCAGTCATTAAGCCCATCGAACGGTGCCATGGTTGCTGTTCAGGCCCCGTTGGACTCCTGGAAGCACTTAATGGATAAGCAGAATGAATCACATGTGGAAGACCCCATTGTCATAGCCTGCTACAACAGTTTGCGCAGCTTTACACTTTCTAGTCCTCGCGACGCTATTCATCAGCTTTCATCGACACTGAAAGAAGCAAATATCGAAGTACACATCCTCAAAGTTGATGTTGCATACCATTCTCATCACATGAAGCCAGTAGCTGGAATCTACGACAAGCTTCTTCGAAAGATCGAGCCCGGTGAACCGCTCGACGATCAGCCCTCTTTCGTGTCCACCGTCACCGGAAAACCCTTGGATCAACTCGCTGAACTGAGAACTGCGGCTTACTGGAACAGGAATCTTACTGGCTCTGTCAAATTCTCAATCGCCGTGGAAGGAATCTGTACAAGACCGGATACATCATCATGTTATTTTGTTGAAATCGGACCCCACTCTGCTTTGCGCTCTCCTCTCAGCGATATCCTCAAAGCTGCAGAGAGAGACGTCAAATCTGAATATGTTTCAGTCTTGCGTCGCAATCATGCGGCAGATATCACAGCCATGCAGTGCGCAGGAAAACTGCATACCATTGGGACATCTGTCGATATCTCGGCAGTCAATAATATCCGCAGTTCTGATTCAAAGCTTCTCACATCCCTTCCTAGCTATCAATTTGAAGACAAGAAGAGATATTGGCTAGAAGGTCGAACAAGTATCCAATACCGCCAAACCAAGTTTGTGCATCACGAGCTACTTGGGTCCCGCACACCCGACTGGAACGAACTGGAGGCACGCTGGACGAACCGCATCCTTCTAGACCAATCACCGTATTTGAAAGACCACATAATAAACGGTCTTTGTCTCATGCCGGCAGCAGGCATGCTAGTCATGGCTATCGAGGCAGTGCGCCAGTTTTACGGTGAAGCAGGTGCCGATGCTTCCGGATACAGAATGAAAGATGTTTCGTTCACGAAACCGATGACACTATCTGAGAATCCCCGAGGAACGGAGATACAACTTATGCTACGTCCCAGAAGTGTAGGTGCGCGAGAAGCGAAACCAGGAAGTTCGTGGAGCCATTTCTCGCTCTATGTGTATGAGAATGATACATGGCATCTTTGCTGCTCTGGCTCTATTTCAATCACATACGATAGCCCAAGCGAGACTTCAACTGAACAGACTCAAAGGTCTGAGAAATTTATCACGGCTGCAAAGCAGTGCCGCACTGACATCAGCCACGAGGAAATCTACAATGCGTTTAACAAGGCAGGGCTATCCTACGGTGCCACTTTCCGCAGCATGTACGATGTCAAGTGGGATGGGCAGAGTCAGCAAGCAATAGCATCAGTCGGCCTTGCCGAATGGCAGAAACATGCGAAATTCACATATACAGATGCCCATTTGATTCACCCCGCTGCGCTAGACACCATCTTGCAAACGACATTCCCTGCCTATTCAATTTTCTCCAAGAATGCGTCTGCAACAACAGTACCCACAGGCTTTACCAACGCCTGGTTTTCGTCCAATCTGCTGCGCGCATCGAACGAAGCAAAAAGTGTAAAAGTGAACGCGCAAGTCAAGGGTTGTGGGTTCCGGAACAAGCTGTTTGATGTCACTGCAGCGGACGAGCAGGATCAAGAGCTTTACTTTTACGGGGAGTTGGAGACTTCGACGATTGGAAGAAGCGGTGCAGCTGCGGATGAGGGAGAAGTACCGCCGACTTTATATCGCATTGATTGGCAACCGGCCAGCTTCTCCGATTTGACTCCGGAAGAGAGAGAATCACTTTACTCTGACTTACCGTTCTACGTTGTGTACGACGAGTGTGACTCTCTGCAAAGTAATCTAGCAGATCTGCTTGGAAAGGTCGCACTCTCACACTGTAATACTTCGTTAATCCCAATATCTTGGAAATCCGTTCCTGAGAAAGATTTATCCAAGGCTACCTATGTGTTTCTTCCTGGACTAGATGGGACGCTCTTGCGCCTCATGCAAGACGAAGATTTGAACAAAATCAAAAAACTCCTCTCCACAGCTGACGCACTCATCTGGCCTACGCTTCAACATTCAGCATTAGACCAGAGTCCTACAGAAGGTCTTGTATCAGGCCTTGTTCGTACGCTAGCCACGGAATCCGAAGACTATCATCTTATCAGTGTTAGTCTGAATCGCGAGAATGGGTTCGAGAAGTTGGCGGGTAATATCATGGCAATCTTAGACGCAAAGCTCGCGGATCAGACTAGTGATCCTGAAGATGAGTATTGGGAAGTTGATGGCGTTCTCTGCACACCACGGGTAGTCGATGATGCAGAGCTGGCCGCGACAGTACTGCCACAGTCCAAAGATGTCGCGACTACTGTTTCCAAACCATGGAGTGAACTTAAAAATCCAGTTCTCACAATCGGAGCTGCGGGCATCCTCAACACGCTGCACTACGAGCAAGATGATACCCAAAACGACACGCTTGGAAGCGACGATGTCCTTGTACAAGTCAAAGCAGTAGGCCTCAACCTTCGCGACGTTCAAGTCGCACTAGGCCAGATCCACGACGACGCCTTTGGCAGCGAAATTGCAGGCATCGTACTGCGAACCGGATCACGCAGCGCTTCACATTTCCAACCCGGAGATCGCATCTTCGGCATCACACGCAACGGCGTTGCACAAACCGCGGTGAGTAGCTACAAGCAGCTGCGCAAGATACCAGAGAAAATGGACTTTTCAGAGAATCTGAGCTTTGCCGAAGCAGCTGCGATCCCTGTAGCTTTCTGCACGGCGTACTATGCCCTGATGCAAGTTGCGGGTGTCAAGCTCGGCGACAATGTACTCATTCACGATGCGACTAGTGCGCTGGGGCATGCCGCTTTCAAGATGTGTATACATCGGGGATGCACGAACATCTTTACAGTGGTTGAGTCTGAAGAGCAGGCGGATTGCTTGCTTCGCTATGGGCCCATTACCAGGTCCTCTATTTTCGTTACTGGGGATCCGAATCTCGAGTACGAAATCCGGCGTCAGACTGAGGGTAGAGGTATAGATATCATTTTGGGCTCTACGGAGGACTTAAAGAGTTCAAGCGGCTGTATTGCGTCGTTTGGACGCATAGTTGATGTTGGGGAGAAGCATGCTTTTGCTTCTACGGCGAGCCGTCCAAAAGAGAATTCGTTACCGGCAGTGGTGACGAATAAGAATGTCACATTCGCCAATATCAACTTCCAGGAACTAGCGGAAAGCCGTTTGTTTGAAGGGATCTTCAAGAATGTCTGCGAGATGATTGACGACAGTCGTCTCATGCCACAAGTGTCGCTGGCTGTGTTCAAGCAAAGCGAGGCCGAGAAGGCTTTCCGTGCTCTGCAAGACAAGGACACTATGGCTAAAATTGTAATTGAAATGGACAGCGATGAAGTTGTCGAGATGGAAGTTGCATCGAGTCCTTCCAAGCTACTCTTCCATGAAGACGCGAGCTATCTTGTCGCGGGTGCTTTCGGTGGTATAGGCCAAAGCATCGTCCAGTGGATGGTGCAGCAAGGCGCCCGGTACTTGATACTGCCATCACGTTCTCCAGTCGAAGGGACCGGATCTGATCGCGAGCACTTCATACAAGAGCTCCAGGAACAAGGCGCCACCGTCAAAGCACCAGTATGTGATATCGCCGACAAACACCAGCTCCAAAGCATGCTGGATTCTCTCCGCGATCTCCCAGACATCAGAGGCTGCATCCAAGCAGCAATGGTAATGCGCGATTCATCCTTCACCAACATGTCAGTCGAAAAGTGGCATCAGTCTCTCGCCCCCAAAGTCGACGGCTCCTGGAACCTCCACCAGCTCCTCCCTCCCAACCTCGACTTCTTCGTCATGCTCTCCTCCTCAACAGGCATAATGGGCTCCTTCGGCCAATCGAACTACACAGCCGGAAACACCTACCAAGACGCCCTCGCCGCCCACCGCATGCGCCACGGCCAGCGCGCCCACACGCTCGCCCTCAGCATGGTAACAGGCGTCGGCTACGTCGCGCAAAACGAGCAAGTCCAAGCTCTCCTGCGCGTTCGGGGTATGCTGGAAGAAGTATCCATGCAAGACATCTTCTCCTTACTCCAATTCTGCTGCGATCCCAGCCGCGTAGATAATAGCAGTGTGGGTTCGCAAATCATCACGCCACTAACTCTCCCTGCGGATCTCCGTGCTATGGGTATCGTGGCTCCCCTCGGCAGTACGAGACCAATCTACCACTACCTCGACACGCTCCCTGCGCGTATCTCCAGCACCGCCGAAACAGATAAATCGCGGCCCTCGCACTTGCTGTCCGAAGCAAAGTCTCTGGCGCAAGCCACGGATATCATTGTTGGGGCCATCCAAACGCAGCTGTCTAGTCTGCTGGTTGTAAGCAAAGACGATATCGACCCGCAGAAAGCGATTTATCGGTACGGCGTCGATTCGCTGGTGGCGGTGGAGATGCGAAATTGGTTTTCCAAGGCGGTAGGGGCGGATGTGGCGACGGCGGATATCATGAGTGATGTTAGTATTTGGTTGTTGGCGGTCAAGGTTGCGGGGACGAGTCGGTTTGTGAGGGATGAGGTGAAGGAGTAGATTTAAAGTACAAAATCTAGTTTGGAGTTCTGTTGATTAGTGTGGAAATTGTAGCATAGTTGATTTTGCTTTGATTGTTGATGGAATGAACATGACGTCCTGGATCAATGTCAAAAGCTTTCTGAGTATAGCCTTTGAATAACCAAAGGTCAGAGTCACATATTATGGAAAGTAAGCAGGTTCTTGTAGGCTAGAAAGTAGACTGTCGAGTATAGAATAAACATGGAAGTCATGAATTCATATCTTTTACTTGTAAAAAACAACAAAGTATATTATACCGCGCGCAGCATAATGATAGATTACTGACGTAAAGCAAATCGTTAATTCGTTGCAAGGAACGTTTCTCATCAAACACGTTAATACACATATCTCCATCCGCGCTCGACACCAGTGTGCTCGGACCAGCCTTCAGCCTCATCGAGCTTCTTGTTAAGCTGCTTCGCACGCCACTTCACTAAGCTGGCTGAGATGCAGCAAATCAAGCAGCCCACCAAGATCAAGCCACCACCGAGTCTGTAGAAAGGCTCTTGGGACCTTGGAAAGAAGTAGGGGCTGAACCAGTGGCTGACTTGACTGATGCAGTTGGCAATAGCGATAAGAGCAGCCTTCTTGCTACGTGGGGCGGGGACGAGCGTAGTTTCCCAACTAAGCTGTAGATTGAGACCGGAGTAGGTGCCACTGATGAGGAGGATGAGACCAAAGTAGCGGGCGCCAATGTTGAGCGTTCCAATGAGCATGCCGCAGCCTGCTGCGCTGAAAATGATAGGAATCACGATGTGATAGAAAGACTCTTGGAAGCGACCAGAAGTATAGGCGAGACCGCAGGCGACTCCGTATGCGATAGCGTAGGGTGGGGCTTGGACGAGGTAAGTGGTAAGAGTGTCGAACTTAAAGGTCTTCATGATCTGTGAGGCAGAATGGTTAGTCGAGAGATAATTTCAGTAGCTTAGTAGAGAGGAATGACTTACCGAGGGCAGGAAATCCTTGAAACTCTGAGCGGTGACAAGAGCAAAATGCATCATGCAGAAGAACCAGGTGAATGGGTCCTTGGCAGCTTCCTTAAGTCCGTCCCATGTTCCACCCTGCTCCTCTTCATGACCGCCATTTGATACCTGGACACGGTATTGTGCCATTTCTGACTCCTCCTTCGATAGCCAGCGTGTGTTGTGTGGCCATGACGGAAGCGCCCAGTAGGCAATGGCCGCTACGAGAATGGAGACGGCGCCCTCGATGATGAAGAACCATTGCCATGCGTGTAGTTTGAGGAGATTATCCATGTTCTCTAGGATAGCTGCGGCCAAGAAACCAGACAAGATGTTGGACATGGTGTTTCCTGCGTGCCAGATAGCCATACGCATTGGATTCTCTTCTTTGGTGTACCATGAAGAAGTCACTGGCCTCTGTCAGTTTCAAATCTTCTCAAAGCGTGTCTGGCGTACAGGCTGGAACTTACTCAGTGTAATGCCCGGGAAGAAAGGTGCTTCTGAGAGCCCTATGAAGAAACGGCAGACTGCGAATCCAGCACCGCTTGTCATGGCCGGCATGCAGATCGTTCCAATACTCCAAGCCATCATCATGGATGGCAAAAGCAACCTGGGATCCGCCTTGGCAAGCCAAAGGTTACCGGGAAGCTGACCGACAAGATAACCCACATAGAAGGTCGAGATGCCAGTGTTCCACTGTGTATCTGACATGTGTAAATCTTCTTGAAGTCCAGCGAGGCGTGCGTTTGAGACATTGATACGGTCAAGATAGCTAGATGCACTGTCAACTATGCTCACGTGCAGGCCAAGTTTTCGGAATCAGGGTCTTACTTCATCAAGAACATGAGAGTGATGCAAGGCATTAGTCGCCAATCGAGCTTCTTGACAAGCTTCTTGTTCAATGCAGTCATCTGCTCGTCAGTCAAGTCGCGGAGCGATTCAAAGCGGGCTTGAATCTGCTGAGGTGTGATTAGGACCTGGCGGTCAGGAACAATTTCTTTGAGTTCGGCATCGGCGCCCTTCTCGTCGATGAAATCGACAGATTGTTTTTCCGTCATGTCGCTCGACCGAAGTGTCTATGTAGCACAGGAGTTGTTTTTGTTGTTGAAAAAAGAGCTAGGAAGTAAGATGGACACCCGTGCTGTTGGCTCCATAGTGATGCGCTCCATACTGTTATATATATTGAATGCCCAGATTGAATGCCCAGACTGGATGCCCAGAAAAGAGGCTTGATCATGGTGTATGCAGCCATCTGGATAGACCTTCCTCGCATGACAGGTGCTGGTGAATCCCCCAGATGAATGACAGGTGCGGGGCCCCGCAAACAACGAACGATTGGGATGGGCCGAGGCTGGGCTGAGGCTGGGCTGGACAAGAAAAACGTTAGTCGTTGGGAAAACCTAATCGTTCAGTCAGACTAGCTAGGATGAAGGCTTCGGCGCCGCCCTCGTAACGAGGCCAAGACCGGTCTTTTCCCTCGGGAAGCCGTCCCACTGCCGTCCCGCGGGTAGTGAAGAGCACTCTCATCTTCCCGCCACGGGATCAAGTTGCCACGGGAACGTTCCGGTGTAGGCATATGGAACACCAAGTATCATTATATCACAAGGAGATGGACAAGTGCAGCTCGTGCAAGAGATTCATCATGGCATGCCGATGACAAAATGAAAGCGAAGGACGGCTGAATTCATTTGGCCCAGTGAGATGTATAGCGCTCACGCTATCGGTGTAAAGTGCACTTAGCATTGGGTTTATTCTTCTTTAACTGTGTTAGTTCTCTCTTCTTTAGGGAGTGATAATCCCCAAAGTCCGTAGCCTTATTGTATCGTAGTCAATACTTCAAAAAGCCTGTTAGAAAAAGGAAGCGCATTAGAGTAAGATGTAGATAGTTATTGATACAACAAATTTCCGAGAGTACGTTTTAGAGAGTGGACCTCTATTGATAGCGCTAATGTAAAGTAACAAAAAATAGCACCAGATCTGGTGTTCTACAAGACCGACAACAGTATCTCAACTATCTTTTTGGGGGATCAGATGACGCTTAGCACAGTGTCCTTGAACCCCGACCTTCACCTACTATTAATACCCTAAAACAAACAAGAAATACATTAACAAGACTCAGAAAAAAAATGATATCGATTGGATTATTGGTTGGAAGGCGTCAGCAGATATGCGACCTTCTCATAAACTGTGAAAACAATGCCACCGCTCAAAACCAGCCTCCCTAACCGCATCGTGCTTCCGCTCCAGAATCCTCGCACTCCTCCCTTCAACAAGACCGATCGGAAAGCATCCTTTGTGCTCGCGCCCCGCGCACTCTGCGCTTGTGTTTTGATAGTATCGAAAGGTTGTGTTGCATAGACGGTAATGACACCGGCGACGGCACCCATGCCAAAAGTAAGTGCGCTGTTCTGCTTGAGGTTTTTCCGCCGCGCAAACTCTTTGAGCACATTGTACGATCCCATGCGAACCGCAGAAGTAGCTGATTGCTTTGCAGTTGTAGACACCAGCCCTCGGTATAGTCCAGCAATACCGTCTGTTTGTAGAATGACCCTCGAAGCGTGAAAGCCTCCATGGTAGCGTTGCCCGCCGCTCTTTGCGTTGTCGATCAGAGCAGTCTTGATGCGCTCTGTCGGTGTTACTGCAACTACACTCTCAACAGCACCTGCCAGCATGCCAGCGAGCATGCCGCGAGCCGGTGAGAGAACACCGCGTTCATCGGCAAGGCGGTTGCGGATGGAGTCGAAGGACAAGAAGCGAACGCCAGCCTTGAAAGCCGTGCCTACAATCAACGTAGAGCAGCCGGTATAGATGGCCCTTACACCATCCGTCTTGGCGACCTGAGAGAGAACGGTAAAGGGATTTTTTGAGCCGCCAGCGCCCACTTGGAGCTGCGCGCGTGTCTTGGCAAATTCGAACGGGTATGTTGCTGTGGCTTCAACACCTCCGGCGACGGCGCCAGAGAATAACGATACGATGGCAGTCGGGGTAGTTTTCTTGGGCGCTATCGCTTGAGATGGAGTGTTGAGGCTTGTGGAGGGTTGTTTCCGGTCAACCGGATGGGTAGTAATAGCTGCGCTCATGGTGGAAGGAATGGTGCGGTAAGCGCAAACTGTGTAAACTGTGTAGACTGTGCAGACCGTGTAAACTTTTCCATTACTTCTACTTGGCTATCGAGATGGTATATACTACGGTAACTCAAACGCGTGTTGATCAATGTAGCACAGAGGTTTCAGAGGGCATCCGTAGGTATGGAGCGGGTACGCATTGATTGCCGGAGTCGCAAAGTCATGTTCCCGCGGGATCTCAAAAGGCACACAGGGTCTGTTGGGTGGATTCAGCCCCGTTTCCTGTTTCTACATCGGAGCTGCAAACGGCGCCGTGTTCGGTAAAACGGAGCTTCTGCTCATGCATGCTTTCTTCCAAGGACTCGGGTTTGCCACCGCAGCGCCAATGTTCATTCCTCTTGCTTGGCAGTGCTTCGACCCATTTTTTTCTCCTCTTCGAGCTCTAGTTCGCTTGAAGTGTAAATAGTCCCCTCAGCTCGATTCTGGAGGAGCCGCCGTCATCACTTGGCTACAGGAAATGTGCTTGTTTCCCGGGAATTTTCCACCCACGTGGTGAACATGTGACCATACAGCGGACATCCGACCGAACGGCTTCCGATTTCTGTCCCAATTCAGGTATACCTCCTGGTTTACATCTAACCCAGAATGGCTTTGGTATGGGAGCCTGAGAATGAGGAGCGAGTCCGCTCACCAAGCCATCGTTTACCCGCGGGAAGAAAACGCTACCCGTTCGCTACACTACACAACGCAAGCCTTGGCAACAAATCGTCTCCATCATTTTTGACATCCCGCTCATGGGTACATTACACCACGATTTCTTGGCTTTCGTGACGGACTTGGCATATTTCAACAACCAGGCGTCTAGGACCGGCAGTGCATGCACATGATAGCCGAAGGTCCACACCTCATACGATGGAAGATTAGGTGGCCTCAAGTACATAGATAACAGAGTAGGCAAGTGGGGATCAAATCATTGAACAGGAAGGTATATGTAGAGTAAGTAACCGACGGATGAGTAGCATTCTGTATGCCAGCTTCACCAAGATCATGTGAGTTGCTATCTCAACAGATGTCGGTTCCCCATCTTGCAAATCCGACATGAGTACCCAACCGATTTGACTTGACAGGCACGCGGGCACTTCATCGGTTCACATACAGTACACTATTGACATCCCTAGCGAAACAAGGCCCACCCTCGAACGGAGTGGCAACAAACCAACAAGTTGTGCTTTTACGCAGCACGCGGTAATCATGACCCCGCCTCCGCAAACTAGCATAACCAGCCAGATAAGAAGAGTGGAGGGTTTGCTCTGGGCGGGCGCAGACCCACTGCTCCACATTAAATAGAGACGTAAAACAGGAATAGTGCAGTCACATGAACGAACAAAAGCGTTACCAGTCCTCGACGGGTTTTGAGAAGCACGGCGGAAGTCTTTCTCGAACTGACTTGCAAGAATCTCGTCAAGAAAACGAGAAAACTAGATGCCACAGAGGACTGAAGATTAGCAGTCATTTTGTTTTAATTGGATATAGTGACTAACATGAGCTATAGCTGAAATGGCTACATACAAGAAACTTCCTCGGGGAAAAAGGTGCAGTCAGTCAATCAAGGAGAAAATTTCAACGAAGCTCCTTCGGGCACGAACACTCAAATAATCCTTACTGAGAATCTCAGAAACCGAAAAGGGGATTGATTTCGATTGCTGAGGTGTTCTTCAATAATCGAATGTCCTTCTTGCGGCGGTCAGTATGGGTAGATCTGGTCAACGAACTTTGCGCATTGGCATCGATCGGGAATGATAAAACCTGGAAGAATGGTTATGGAAACGTTGGATTTATCATGTAGATAGTGCACTGCTTCACTTGAATACTTGTTGCGAAATTAAAAAGGTAACTTAGAACCTTGGTTAGTTATACCAAGACTATCTCTATGAATTTATTAAATAAGCGTTAGTCTATGTTCTTTGGTATCGAAGAAAGTCTAAATCTAACAGTTGTCTATGCTCAAGTGCTGCAGGTGTTTTCAGTACTAGTTTTTATGTACTCAACCTTTGAATCGCCAACCAAAATATCAAAGGTAGTAGTTACGCTCGCCCCATTGAGATTCGTTGTAGCAGTGTAGTACACGTATCCAGCTGTCTCTCGAGAGGTACGCTGCATAGGGATCACGACTGGGTTCAGCTTAGGAATAACCAGTCCTTGGACTGCCGTCTTCTTGACCACGCGAATTTGTGGGGTAGCTCCGCCGGCCAACAGCTTCTTTGAAATAGCAGCAACAAACGTCATGTCGACGGTTCTGTTTGAATTGAATGTGGCGCACGTCTGTGCCGTTTGTAAAAGCACATCGCCATTGACAGGATAGCCACCTGTTCCGCCGTTGTCGTAGATTTCGCCGTTGACGCGGATTTTGAACGAGTCAAAAACGTCGCTGGCGTTGAGTGATTGGAAGACTTCGAACCATTGAAAGTTCTCGTTACGGTATCCGAACGATGTTCCACCGCCAAATGAGGCCATCGTACCCTTAATCTCCTCCCCTAGAGTGCCATTGCGCGTAATGGGAATAATAGATGCGGTGAGAGATGCGGGATCACGGCCGGTAACTGGTGTGATACGGACACGGATGCGAACGCTGAAGTCAACACCGCCGTCTTTGTTGATTTCGTATTTGGTGGGGTATGGCTTGATTTCTGTTGGCTGCAGGGGCTCGGTGAGCGTGACGTCTCCCGGGACGAGATCTAGCATGCGTGCAAAGGCACCTTCACACTGCGACTTGAAATAGGCTGGATCCGCGAGCTTTCTCATGGTTTTGTTGTCGTCAGAAGCGAAGATACGCTTATCGGAGTTCAATGTATCGTTGGCGTTGCGGACCAGCGGGTTTGTGGTAGAGTTGTTAAGGTATTCCACCACCACTTGGTTGTCCAAAGCACCTGAGGTAGTGTCAAAACTGGCTTTGTTCTCTGCGCTAACTGGACCAGACACAATTTCAGGGTGGTCAACGGAGTGAACGCCACCGATGCTGTGTCCACAAGCAATCAAAGTGATCATGTCGACTAGCGAAAGTCAGCTTTCAGTCAATCTATGAGGTGACATACGACGGCGAGTTTACCTTCACTAATACTAGCAGTTGCAAATCGCTTGCGGGTGGTTTCGAGGCTTGTATGGGCCTCAGGTACTCCCTTGATGCCGGCCTCTGTCGCGTCTTTCCGGCCCAGCCTTAGTGGTACGTACATGTTCGCACAACGATCCACTGACATGACTAGCGACAATGCGAGAAGGTCTGCTGCCGAACTGCGGATATCGTAGGCGCCAGCCAGATCTGCTAACGTGTTGTTGAGCGCAGCGCCAAGATTCTCTGGTCGGTCAAGCTCGTATTGGATCGAGGCGTCCAATCCTCCAATTTTCGTAGAGGCATCGTGTGTCACAGCATCGTGAAAGGCGGTTCGTACCCACTCCGCTGCCTTCTGTATACCAGGTTGGCCGGCGCCAAAATCGCACGACTTGACTTCTGTCTTGATGTAAGTTGTCTATTAGACCATAAATACAGAAAAGGTAATGCGTACGATCGCCCAAAGTACCATCTCTGGCGTAGCCGAATTGGTTGTATAACAGGTCCTCGATGTGGTCGTATTGGTTGGGCCAGACATACGCCTGAGAACTGGGCGCAATCAGCGCAAGACCAATTGCAAGGTTGCTCTTCATGATGTCCTTGGGTTTGTACTGTAGAATGATGGAAATGAAAGACTGGAGAACGATACTCGCAGACGACACGGTTTATCAATGAACTATATAGGTACATTCGCTAACTAGGACGACGATCAGGAGCAAACGGCCAAATCGACTACTTCCGTGTCAGGACTCAGTCAAGCATGGTGTAACTTATCGTGTTAATAGTGGGCGTAGTGACATCGTATTCTGGATACGAATATTACAGTCATGGTAGTGCGATGAATTGAGGTTCGATGAGTGGCTTGAGGAACGGCCCGGGGTCGCGTCGTTCAGGGAGCGGCCTTTGATTCCTGCAATTTAATTTTGGGTGCAGGGGGAAACGCTAGGATAAGACTGGTCTAGACATGGTTAGCTCTCTGTCCAAGCTGGGTTGATCAACCCTGAAATTACCCACTCAAGCGCGTAGCGAGTATTGGCACCAGCCCGCCTTCTTTCAGCGGAACTAGGTATCATCGGCATTGTACTACCGGCTGCCAGCAGCCTGAGGGTCGCGTGCATGGATCTCACCAAATCTTTTGAAGTGTAGAATCTTGTTCATGGGACAGAGGCAAATTTCGTGATCCTTGTAGCACAGAGAACACTGCAGTCATCTGATGGATGGTGAATGGGTGTGCCAGAGCTGGGGATTGCTTCGCTAGACAGTAAAGGTCGCCCCAGTAACTGGAATTTCAGAGTAACATCGGCTTCGACCAGTTGCTTCCTTGCCCCAGCCTCACCCACTTGAGCTATTTAAGGAACTGTATTTATATGGGTCTCTTCCCCACAGGGATACCTTTTCATTCACAACACAGCGAACAGGGTATAGATTGATGCATCGCTTTACCTACTTAGTACATCATGTCTGCGATCGTATTTTGCCCAGCCAGTTAGCGCTGTTTAGACCCATAAATCCCTAGGATAAGGAGAATCAAGCCTTCCAGAACCGGTCTGTAATTCTTTAGATTGCCACCTTGTAGATCGTAGACCAAAAAATAGCTATGCTAGAGTCAGGGACGCATTCTAGTTGACAGAGAGAATGTTCGCCACCTTGCTACTATTGGATGTGCAGAATACGATTGCAGACATGGTGTGCCACTACTACGTACGTACATACACCTACTATATCCGCATTGAGACTATTCTGACCCCAGTTGGTATCCAATAGGTGGCGAACAACTTTCTGCGCTTCTCCAGTGCTGGGTAAAGAGCGCTAAAATGCAATGACATTGTCCAATAAATTTAGCATATGGAAGCCTCTGTCACGGCCGGGACGACCGCCAAAAGGGACAAGGTATCAGAACAGTATATGGTACAAGTGTTGTCTATCCCGGTAGTTGCGGAGGTGAGCTAAGTACAGGACCCCAGCCAAGGCGCTATACCCAAACAGGGTAGCTCCCGGCAGTGCCATAACAGCCTCTTTTAACTGTCACGCGGAACAATTTAGCAGTTGACCTGCCACTTAGTGTCAAATTAAGTGCTATATCCTGCAGAAGTTTCTATTCCAAGTAGTGCACTGCCACACCTTTGCGGCATGGAACATTCCATCCAACCAGTGAACCACTAGTGGGAAGAATATCACTGCTCGTCATTACTCATGTTGTAAATCATGTTTTGCCAAGGACATAGCAATTGGTTCTGGCGAATTTTTGTTAGAAAAGCAGCTGTTCTAACCAATCAACTGCTGCGTTTTGATGATGATCAACTTGCCGCCAGGACTGTGACAGAAGGACAACTATTCGTGTGTACAACTTTACAAAATCATACCAGCTGATCCGCACAGGCCCCTGCTCATCATTACATTGCTCCTGGTTGGAAAAAGCATGAGATCCACAAGACATAGTACATGCGCATCGAACACTTGTTCAAGGATAAGGCAGGTGATCCCCTGCAAGAGCCCAGTGCAAATCCTCTGAAATCTCCATAGCTTTGCTTTTGCCCAGATGCAGTAGTCGCTTGGCAGACGGAGTTGTCGTAGTCTCTAATTGAATATATTTTCTAGGTACATCAATCAATGTTCTCTCGAATAATCACGGCCACAACTTTCGCGCACGAAAACCGCATCAACAAACTTCGTCCGCCATTGCTCCACCGCGCGGCTGCGTTGGGAATAGTCGGTCAAATTCGTGAATACCAAGGAAGATGTGCTTGATACGAGATGCCAAGGCACAAGGAACACAGACACATGGATTCATAGCTAAGCTTCGTTCCCCGATTCATTGCCCAGATGACGAATTCGGTTACGCTCTTCTCCACGTGCTCTTAAACGATCTTCTGCACCCGTCCATTGCTGAGCTCCTCGGCAATACCGAGCCTACACTGTAATTGTAAGTTGAATTGTTCACATTCCCTTGGCAACCTTAATTATCAAGTGCCATATCTGGCAATGCCTTTCCATACATGCTTTCTACTATGCGACCCAGCGTAGCATTTTGAGGTAGCACCACAGTGGTATGTTGTATAGCTCAGCTAGCGAGAAGTTTGTCTCCGATAAGTTTTTTTTCTGCAAGTGATTAGCGGTAAATTTCAAGAAACCTGTTCTTGTCAACGAAACTCATTACATTTTGTATAGGATACGCACAGTCAACAGGAAGGACACGTAGTACAAGATTTTCGTCGAGTGGAGATCAATACATCCTACAAACAGAAATATCATGACCCAAGGCACCATACGGTATTAATCATTATCGCAATTGGACATAAAGATTTCCTATTCTAAGAGAAGTGCGATCTCAGTCCCTCGGTTCCTCAAAGAAAGCCAGACACGGGTAGGGTCATTTTACCCCGATGTTAATGTACACAATAGGTACCATCTCATAAAATTGAAAGATAAGGTAACAAATATGCCTATAACCTAGGTACCACTCTAGTCAAGTAACTTTGAACATGTAAGGAAAATGTGTGCTTCAGCCTCTTATGGTTAATATCCATACCACACCTATTCTAAGGTACTGTCACACATGACGGTCAATATTCCGATAACAAATATAAGATATTTTTCGAATGATAGGATACCTACGTACGATCCAAGATTATGCTTAGGCTTTGATAGACTATGTTGTCGTCCAACCTGGACGCCAGTCCGCTCGAGTCGGGCGAGAAGGCGACCGAGCTGACGAAGTAGCTATGACCATTGAGCGTCGAAAAGCAGGCGCCGCTGCGCTAAACCGTACCCTACCATTCAAACAGCCTCATGTGAGAAATACAATTGTTATGATCCAGATAAGATGAACATTTCTGGTTGATGTCATTTATGTCACCTGCATACTCAGCGGTGGAGATGTTTGTGGCTGAGTGGGGCTGGTGGCTGAGCAGGCAACCAAAACCGGTCAACCCCGTTTCAGCACGCACGTACGTATGCCTCGACTATTTGGCCCCCATTTCTTCCATTCATATCTCTAACAACTACCGCAACAAGAGGCGCGAGTATCAATATGAAGGCGCGGTGAAAGCTTCTCCCTAGTAGACCTTGTGAGTAAGGTCTTCAGACCAGCTCCTGCGACGATGGAGGCGGTATGTCTGGACGTTCGACCACCCCGCTTAGTTCTCTGACATTGCGAAGATTGGAGCTGTTGCCAGTATATTGCAGGTTGCTCAAATTGGAACGCAGCTTTCCATTGGGTTATTTCAAGTTGCAGATGCTATCGCTTCAGCTAACCAGGTGGGGACTTCACTCGAGACTTCGATAGTCCAAACTGACAGACACGCAGGAGACGAGTTACATCGCCAAAGACATCGCTCTCTTCAGTCAGGTTCTCAAAGATCTTGCCAAGGCAATGGAATTTGGCCAAAAAGCTCAACTCTTCAGACAAGATGCTTTTGATACGAGCATCAAGATCGTTGACGAGTGCAAGCGTGTGTTCACTGAGATTGAGGATATCCTGAAAAAAGCGACCAAGTCTGACAATCCGCTCGCCGGCAAATTTCGCCTGCCTACTGGGCACAAGATCATATGGATCTTTAGGAAAGGAAAGGTCGAATTCTTTCGCCGGCTTTTGGAATCGCTTAAATCGACCATACTGGTCGAGCTCGCAGTTTTAAATTATGCAATCAAAGTGACGTCGCATCTGTCGTAGGTCTAGACGCTCTGATATTTGAGCGCTCTGCTTACGAGAATAGAAAGGATACTGTTGACGTCGATGAGTTGTTGGCCCTCAAAAGTTTGGTACTTGCCAACGAAGCGGCAAAGCAGGAGTTTCACCATCAAGCAGAAAGTAGTGGAGAGATGGTGAACGAGGCCGAAATATCTAGCAGCGGAGTATCTGCATGCTCGAGAGAGTTCAAAGTGCCCGGACTCTCTCTATCAGCAGCTGACGATGGACCTGTACTTACCGCCACAAGTCACAGCCAAACCCCGAGGACCGCGGAAGCCACAAATCTCGCACCTTCATCTCAGTTCATCGGTTCAAATAGTGTCCATCCATACTGGTCTCAAATTGATCGGTTAGAGTTGGCTGCCCAGAAACTGGAGTTGGCCAAATGGGAGTATTCTCGACTTGAGGAAAACATTGCTCTGGGCAAAGCGAGAGGATCAATCGATTCAGAAATGAAACATGACTTTCTGATGGACAGAATCAAGAACGGATTAACAAAATTCGGAATGAGAGAAGAACTTGTTGACGCGGCTGTATCTACTCTCAAGGCCAACGAAGCTGGGCCAGTGCCTGAACGAGTCCCCATCTATCCAGTGGTATCCCGCGACTCCGAAAAGCTTGCGTATCTCCGATCTACGGGTCTTGTTGATCTTACAAGCGCAGTAAGTTTCATTGTAACCGTATAATAGCTTCTGTGTTTGACATGCTGCAGGAACACTCAAAAGACATCGTTATTCTGAGGTGGCTACCGGATGTATTTGTCGACGTTCTTTACGAGCATACTCAGGATCTTCTCGAAAGATCCGGTGTACCGAGACAGAAGATCATAAAGGCCGCAAGAAGTCAAGCTCCCGAACACCATGTAACTACGGGCCGTGAACAAGACCACCCCTTGATCTCTACAGATCAACAATCCCAAAACAGAGACGTGAGTCAAGAATACACGGTATTGTTTTCAATGCAATACTAAATCAATTAGGAACCCCTGAGGGATAAGAAGAGAAGATCTCAGTCCATTAGCGATGCGCATCCTACCAATGCCTCTGGAAAGCGGCCAGTTCAGTGGGATAGCCATATTCCCAGAGCTCACGAGGAAGAAAGCGACCCAGAAAGCACTCTTAAGCAAAGCACCGAATTCGAGCCTGAACTCACTAAAGATTTCCCACAGTTCGAGGCCGGGGGCTTCGAACAGGTGGACTTAAACATGGTAATAAATGGAGATGACCAAAACTTCGACTATGACGACTTCACACCAAACTACAGCCGAGATTTGCCACCATTCGACGAATATAGAAGCCAAAGCCAAAGTTATGAGTTGGTTGATCAAGATCACGTTATGGACGGCGATCCGACCCTGGAGGGGGAAAATACCGGACATGCGCTGGGCAAAGGGCAAGCGCCAGATCCTGGTAGCAGGGCATCCTTCTTTCCACCCACAGTGCCACTGAAAGATGTATCGGATCCGGAAAGCCGAGCGAGACCCATCACTCGACCAGAGAATAATCCTTGGACTCCTTCTTTTGAACAATCAGAGGAGGATCGGCATCGTGAACGCACTAAGTATTTGGTTAGGAATTGGCTTGACAAATACAACTTACAATTCCATGCTGAAGCTGACACCCAGCCGAACATTTTTCCGGACCCCTTGCTGCCCACTCAGGAACCTGAGGCTCCATCCACAGCAGTGCAACTTGCAAGGCCAGGGCAGAGTCACGATCAGCCAACATCCGTCCAAGTACCAGAGACCGCAAATGCATCGATGCAGAAATTTCGGGACATGTCAAGCGACACTTATCAAGCTTCTCTTGCCGCAACATGGGGCACAGCCTCCGTTGATAGCAATTACGACCTTGACGCGTACTTGGAGAGGCGCAGGAAAGGAATCGAGGGTCGCAAGGATTTCTTCATGGATACTGAGGACGATAGGTCCCTCCAGGCTGTTCAGGAGCTCCTGTTGAAGTGGACAACCGTGGACGATCCTGTTGTTTGGGAGAACAGTAGCAAACAACTGAGATTACTTACTCAAGGGCCTTGAGAGCCTCTAGTGTTGAATAGTTTTCTAGGTATACTTTTATTTCTAACATATTATCAAGAGTACTGCATTAGAGAGTATATATAGAGTTCTATCATATAAAGCATTCTCGACGCCACATTGACGTTGCTGAACTGAGAGAAGTTAACACAGTCATAATATTAAGCATCAATCAGTCCCATCAAGCCATCACAGAACTCTCATTTTTCGTCCTAGCCGACCATATTTGAATCTTTCTAACGAGCGGTAGGCTTTTGTGGAGAGCTGCCGCATTGCTGGCACACATTATCCCGTGAATTCATATTCGTCTCCACCTTCACTGGCGTCTACAAGCATTGCGTTTTCCTCATTTGTCAGCGCAATTTTCGCGATGCCTTGAGCTACAAATACCCAGATGCCCAGCAGGATACCATTGGACCTCGGAAACAGATTATAAATAAAGCGTACTTGTATGGCTGTTGCAACACAATACGAAGGGCAAAACTCGGGTGGTGTGTTTTGGTGAGATTGTGGTTGAGATCGGGCATGGTGTATGAAATGCTTCCGAGTGCCGTTCTTTTTGTGATGGATAATGTGCTGACTACAAATGTCCTAGTACATAAGCTCTAAGGATTGCCGAGCTGGATGCCCGTGTGGGTGGCGACGGGAGCAGTCACGGCAATTCCGCCCATCGAGGCTTATTCTATGATTGCCAACGTCATATATGTACAGAGATTGTTCTGAGCCAGCGATATTCTTCAGACGTTATGTGATGCGGGTGTCGAATTTGACGAGTTTGATGCTTTGCGCCCAAGTCACGAGACGATAATAAATACGTTCATAAATTTGGTTGGCTTTTTGGCATCGCTGCACGAAGGCGGCTTCAAGACTTCGCGAACAATATCAAAAGACCCGCTACCGGTCATACCTGTCTTGGCTGCGTAATGCTTTCGCACTCAAAGCTGACTTTAGCAAAACTTGTTTTAAGCAATTGTAAGACACAGCATGGAGTGCGTAAACTCGGGAACCTTAGCTCGATCAATCTAAGCAACAAGCTCTTAGAATCAGCACTAGACTACGCTCTAGCCACATCTTTGTTTTACTATGTGCTCTGCCCTGAAAATAATTACCGCAACCAATACCCGAGCTTTTCTGACGACGACATCGACGTCACATCCTCGACCTGCAAGTTTCGGGATAGGATCTCGCGCCTGGCGTCAAAACGATAAAACCAGCAGTACATAAACAGCACAATCATAGAGTAAGCTCAGGGCCTTTAATATTCTGTCTGGTTTCAGTCTGCTATACCGGATCGGGGCTTCGTCAGCAAACGGCAGGTGGAAAAGGCGTCATGTTCGGTGAAACGGACGTTTGAATACCACTAGATGGAGCTGTATTCTGTGAGTACAACGCCGGCGTATGCAAAATACCCTATATGTGCAGTTCAATTTTAATATATCACTTTCCCTCTTCCAATTAAACAGAGTCCCGTATTCCTGCTACGTAGATCTTAAGGTCTCTGATAAGTATTTAAGCCCTCTGTTTAACCACGTGACTAGCCCTTTCTGCTATTCATTTTAACCTATATAAGTCCGGCTATATCGCCAATAGACACCTACTGACCCAGAACGGTAGCCAAACGAAGACAGAAAATGGAGCAATCGAACAGGCCCTGACCATCGGCGAAACAAAAAGCTGCCAAATCTATCAAGGCTGTGTAAACCAAAAACTACATCTCACTCTTCTACTCCTCCGCATACAATAATATCCGAGTGTTTAAAATAACAATCTTACTATTACGGGTAGCCAGCACATGTGACATCCGTACCCACTCATCTTACTCACACCCTACACAATCCAATCCTTACCCCAGACACCCGCATGAACTTTACCCGACATCTCCAATAATTCCGTAAAACCAAAAAAGGCATAACATCAGCTATTGTATCACACAGTACACGGGAATTCACTCATCAAGTCCAATAAAGTTTCTAAACGCTCGCCAACGCAGCTTCACAGCTCCACTGCGTTTCTAGGCTCCAAGCTTACGAGTTGATGCCGTGACACGCTGGCAAGCAGCGTGCGACAAAACGCTTTATCATACTAGGAGTTATGCATGTTGCATTAATTATGCTGTGCCGTACCCTCCTTCGACAATGCAGAAGAGCCGAAACATGGTAACTTAGCAAGTACGTGAATACTCGGACTTTCTATTCTCAGTACTATGTGTCCTGTCGAACCGATCAGCCATACTATCGCCACGTTCTCTCACCTTCATCCACATAGTACACAAACGTCACTGTATACAATTAGCGCCACATTCGTGATATTTTCATCATTTCCCCCACCCACCTTCCACACGATTCCTCCTCGCTATCCGCCCTCAAAACGAACGTCAGTGACATCATTTAATCGTACCAGCCCGCAAACAAAGCGGTGTAAGAAAGAAAATTACACCCGCGTACATTTCCCGATGCCCAAAAATCACGTGCCATCATCTTGTACGCTCCGCGCCTTTCGCATATCTATCCATGTCTAATTGCTATACAAAACCCTGTATAGCCATGCAACGCGCACAACCCATCCTAATAGGCTTGCTTACACATTTAAACTGTCTTTTAGCCTGCAACTTCGCCTCCCCGTGTGCCCCGTGGTTCCCCCAGACCGCGCGGATTGGTAGTAGGACCGAAAAGCGTTTAAAATCCCCTTGCTTCCGGAACATCCGTATTTTTTCTTTGAGTGAGCAAGGGGGTGGGAATACGGGGAAAGGTGTGTCAGGCGAGGGTATAATCTGGGGTTTTTCGTTTGCGCCAGGGAGGAGGAGGGTGGTGGAGTGTTTAGTAATGTGCTATGTATAGAAGGCTGAGGTTAAAGCATGAGAGAGACAAGAGAGGTGGTGTGGGGGGAATGACGTAGTGTCTAAGAAGTTGTTTAATGCGAATTGTTATTTTGCACAAATAGAGAGACAGAGAGGGTGGGAACGGGAAGGTAAATGTGAAAGCACAAGAGACTTGGCTGCAATACTTTACACGAATGATCGAATGTTAGCACTATAAGGAGTAGCACATCATGCCGTGGCTGACACTGGTGAGGACATATGTCTCGGGCCGTTTGATATTAAGGACAATTACAGGGTGTAGGGATTAGGGCAAAGCGGTAGAAATAACTAACTGGAATGGGGAACCGTCGTGCCTATCGCCTCCCTATGGTGCGAGATTGAGGACCCGTGCGTTGTTTCGCAGGACCCGTTCGGAACATCTCAGCTTAGCACGACTCGGGCCTGCGAATAGTACCTAGCCAGTACGTATGTAATGTGTCGAGCAGAGCATGTTTAATGCCGTTGTCTCGGCGGCTCGTCGGGTCTTTGATGATGGATAGCAGCTCACTCACCATATAAGGAATGAAAGATTCCTCCCTAGAATTCACTCTCCACCTCGACATCAAGAACCACCAGATCGAAACACACCTCGAACCAACACAAACCCTCAACATGTACGCCAGCTCCTTCATCGCTCTCGCCCTCGGCGCTACCGCCGTCTCTGCGGCCGCTTTCCCCAACGTCCAGGCCAGACAGGCGGTATGCGATTTATGCGACTTCGCCAACCTTCCTAGCAGCCTTGACTGCCCGGCAAACGGCGGTGTTCACATCACCGACAAAGAACTTGCCGCTGCGATCAAGGCCGCTGACAGGAGTCAACCACCGCGTGAGACTAGTGCAAGCAACCTTGCTACGTCGCACTGCAGCGGAGCAGAATTCCGTGGCATTCCTCTCTGGACCGTAAGTTTCTCTTTTTGGGGCGCAATGGCCAGCATCTTATCCAAATCGTAATGCTAACGTGGAAATCTCTAGTCTGATCTGCCCAAAGGAGCTGGTGGCGTTTACTATGCTATGGCGTCAAACGGTACCTTTTACTTTTGCGGCACAACTTCGGGAAGAGCCCCGAGCGGCTGGCCCGCCAGCTGCACCGAGAACAAATAAGTTTCGGTCAGAGATATCTGTATACACTTGAAAGTTGTCCCATGAGGGTCACTGTAAATAGAAATCAACGTGTTAATGTAACACTTCCCTCTCAGATCCAGCCAACGGGTGTGTCATTCTGATTGGGTGCATAATCTGCCAAACGGCCTTCAATGCTGCGAATTGGTCGCAACAGTCCAATTTCGTTTATGGACTCGGTTGTTCGAAAAGCAAAAAATCTCTAAGAAGTAAACTGAGGGTACTGCCAGCAGTTACTACATACCTTGCTACACATGCTCGTGATTGGCCCAGAATCAATGGTGATTGCTAAAGTGTCGAATTAAACGCAGTAGCAGGGTTAAGCAGGTTGATGTTGATGCGAGAAATAAAACAAGCTTCTTGATATGGTATCGAGCTATTTTGGTCATGAAAACTACCCTTGTAATGTGACGCCAGACTCCAGAATCGTTTTTTATTCGCGAGGCCAAGCCAGTCATTGGGCTGTCGCTGTCGGCCGATGCTGATGAGGTATCGGGTCCGAGAGTCGCTCTATTCGTCAACATCCATGGCCTCGACACCGCGACCTCCGACCTTCATCTTCATCTTCCTCTTGCTCTTAGTCTTGGGTAGCATCTCTTCCTCGACATCACTAAGCTCGCTCTCTTCCGCCTCAAGCTCCTTCCTCCTGGCAGCAACCTTGTCCTTGATCGTCTGGACATCGGGCTCGCCTTGCATTTGCTCAAGCTCCTCCTTGGAAAATCGCTCGCTGGGTGGCAGCAGGTGCTGGTTTTCCAGGACCAGCTTGCGGTCTTCCTCGCGCTGGCGCTGCTTGTTACCGCGCATACGGGCCTTGTAAAAGGCGCGCTCTCGTCTGGCGCGGATCTCGGATACACGGCCCATGGCCTTGAGTGTCGTCTGGACAAGGTCGCGGTTATAGCGCACGGGCACGTTACGGCGCTGAGCAAAGGTGAGGGTAGAGTCGACAGTCATTTCCTTGCCGTGTGCGCGGCGGAAGCTCTTTGTCCAGGCCAGCTTGCGCGGCTGTAGAAGAAAAAAAAGCCAAGTCAGCAGGGGTGGGGTGAGCGCATAGTATGAAGCGTGCTTACGTTGCGCTTCATCTTGAAGTTCTTGTGGCATTTGCTCTTGCAGAAGCGGAAGCTCTTGGCGTCATTTCGCACTGTGCGCAGTCAGAAGAGGGTCGTGGTGGCGCCATTGCAGAATGTATGAATACCAAAGGTGATGCCCTTGGACGGGTAGACGGGGCTTGAGCAGAAGTAGCCTGGACATATCAGTATCTGTATTGACCAGCGCCAATGTATAATGTACACATACACGTCTCAATTCTCATGGTGACGGCGGGGGAGTGATTGGAGGAGGTGGAGGTAGTGGTGGTGGTGCAGCAAAGGGCAGTATACTGGCCTGGCCAGAAATTTTGGGTGGCGCGTGCACCCCAGGGCCAATTGCATCGCTCGTCGCCCGAGGCACCTCCGCAGATTCCTCGCCCGCCTTTTCCCTCGACATTATCGACATCGACTCGATCGCCCCGTCTCTGCTGCGTCTTCTCTCGTCCTCGTCGTCCAGTCTCCGCCTACGTTATCCTCTCAAACACCCCTCTGTACATTGTCCGCGCCTGCACCCCGTAGCATCCGCCCCACCCGCTGCACCAACCAACTACCGCGCATTCTCATCGCTCCCCGCACAGGACCAGTATGTCGGCCTGGGTTTGGATATTAGGCGCAGGTGCCACTGCCTTCTTCGTACGTCCTCGCGTATCATGTGCAGGCCTTGTATACAGGCAATACTGACGCAAATGAATAGGGCCGCGCAGCTCTCGTGGCTCTGCGGAGATCAGGTGGGGGCGCTGGTGCTCTGGGGCGCTCATACTACAAGGGCGGCTTTGAACCCAAGATGACACGGAGAGAAGCGTCGCTGATATTAGAGCTGCCGTAAGTCGGCCTGCATGTATGTTTTCGCATGCTGACAAACAACAGTGAACGAGGTATTACAAAAGAACTCCTGAGGAAGAAGCACCGTTCACTGATGCTCCTAAACCACCCGGATCGAGGCGGCAGCCCTTACCTGGCTACCAAGGTTAACGAAGCAAAAGAGTTGCTGGAAAAGGAGGTCAAATAGAAGGACCTGACGACTGTGAATGTACCCACTATCTGTACTATATTACGACAGCATTGTCGACATCGGCATCAGCATGGCGTTGGACTGAAAATGATCGGCGTTCTAACCACTCAATCCGCCCCGTGTTCCGCTCTGTTAGCGTCCGTGCCAGCCTATTCTCCTCTCATTCGAAACATTGCGCTGGTCAGGGCAATTTTTTTGCTGCCCTTGGCCTGTTTCGTGTTCCCTGGCACGTTGTCTGACACTCGCCCACCGTGCCGTGGCCAATCACACTTGGCGGTCGAGATGAATTGTGGCATGGCTAAATCTGCAACGATTGGAACTATAATGACGATATTGCTATACGATCCCCACAAAGACTTGTACCAATATATATTCCCCAGAGCTCTGCCTTGTACTTATGCACTCGGTTTTCGTCCCTTCTCTTCTCACACTTGTTCCGCCATGGTGCGGCTTTTGACAACCGTGACTTCGTCACTTTTTCTAGTCGGTGTATCGGCTCACGCACGCATCGAGAAGATCACAACATCAGCTGGCCTGGTTTACAATGGATGGGACCCAGTTTCTTCTGAAACATTGACGCCGCCTCGTCCATTGGCTGCATGGTCAGCCGCGAACATGGGCAACATCTTCGTGCCTCCCTCACACTTCAATACGTCAAACATCACCTGCCATGACAACGCCATACCTGGTGCACTTCATGTCAACACGACTGCCGGCGACACATTGCAGTTGAAATGGAATGAATGGCCAGTCTCTCACGTTGGCGCAGTCATGACATATATTGCCAAGTGCAACACGACTTGTTCAAAAGCAAACAAACACACCTTGTCCTGGATCAAGATTGACGAGCTGGCATGGCTCAATAGTACCGGATGGGACACTTTGGAATTGGGTGGCACATGGGCAACGGACGTACTCATTGCCAACAACTTCACATGGGAAGTCAAGATACCAGAGGTGTTGGCAGCAGGCTATTATACCCTGAGGCACGAGCTCCTTGCACTGCACGTGGCAGAGAAGCTGGACGGTGCACAGGCGTACCCGCAGTGTGTGAATTTGCGAGTAGACGGAAAGACAGGCGTAGAGACAAAGCGTTTGAAACAGGGTGTACTGGGATCCAATCTGTACAGGCCAACAGATGCGGGTATACTTGTCGATGTTCACAAGAAGCTGACTGGATACGATACTCCGGGTCCAAAGCTATGGGAGTATGCAACTCCATTACGGCAGCCATACCAATGAAGCTGCGATAGCCGGAAAACATAGTACTTCATATGTACATATATTCTTCCATCCATACATATATACATAGTTACATACTACATACAAAGCGACAATGCAATAGCGCGTGACGTGGGGCGAACCAGTGCACGGTTGCCGGTGGCTTATTATGTACTCTATTTTGCGCCATGACGCACGTCCAAACAAACTCGTCTCCCCATCACAAAGACTCGGACTTCTTCTGTCATCAGCCCCCCGTCGCTCATTCCTTCTCCCCTCCCACCCCGCTTCACCCGGTCCTTTTGCTTTCCCTCGCGCATTGCCGCCAAACTTCATCGCTGCAACAACAAAAGGCGTACAATGGCACCCACCGAAGTCATTGAGCGCGAGGCGCCAGAAGTAGTGACTAAGTCACACGCGCCGGTGCGATCGCGTCTCCCTACCGCGCTGCGCGTGCCCATTCTCATCTGTCTGAACTCGGGCATCAACATGCTGCTGTGGGAGTTTGTCTCGAATTTCCTGAGCCCGGAGCTCGGGGCTGTCAGCAAGGTGCCGCAAGAGGACGACATCACGTCGTTTTACTCGCCGCATGCGCGTCTCGCCATGCGCTGGTTTACCGTGTGCATGACGTGGTACTTGAGCTACGACTGTAAGGAGCGCGTCCAATGAGAAAAAAACGTTTGCGCGAAATCACTGCTAATACTGTATGCGCAGTCTACGATGTCTCGGCCCTCGTTGTCCTGACGCACGCGCCTTGGGCCTATTTGCTCACCACTTTTTACAACATCTCGCCTTTGACTGCGGCCACCAATATCGCCATTGAGGTCATTTCTTTTGCGCTGCCCACATACCTTTTGCGCCCACGCTCCCTCGCCCACAAGAACAACGCGCCTCTGCGCAACCGCTTCTTGCTGAACAGCTTTCAAGTCCAGGTCTCGAGCTTCATGCTCGCAACCGGCGTCTATGTTGTGCTTCTATGGGGTGCTCTGAAGACGGGCGTCTTGAACACTTTCCTCGTCCAATACTTTGACATTCCCACGCTTGAAGTCGCCCATATTGAGACTCCCCTGTCTCTTGTGGTCAAGACGTTTGTTGCTGGTTTCGCCGCCAAGGCTTTCCTCCTTAACCCATCCTTTGCTGCTCAGCCGCTTTCCGAAAACCAGACGCCTGGCGATAACTTTGACCCGGCTACTGCAACGCTATCTCAGACTCTTGAGTACAACTTCTACAATTTCACCCAGAGGACCCGCACTCTGATTCAGCAAACGCTCATTCTCAACGCCTTTTTGTTCACCTCCACCGTTCAACGGAGCATGACGCTCGTAGGAACCGACATTATCGGTGCTGTTGGATATGCGGGTGTGTGGGTCGCAGCCAATACCCTCATCGCACTGTGGTTCGGATGGGTTGGTGACACTAGCGCGGATTACGAGCCTTTGTAAAGCATTTGGGGGAGGTGAAGAAGGAAAAAAATTAGGTAGGGAACAACGGGTCTGGAAGGTGTCACCATCATGTCTCCATATAACTGTATTTGTCATGTGTTTTTTATATAGGGACACACGGTCGTGTCGGCGTCGCATTCGTAGTGGTTTTTTTTGTTGATACCAATTGTCTGTTCTATTTTTATTCCTCTCCTCTCTTCCTTCCCTTTCATTTTATCTCACTCCACATAAAACACTTCCTCCATCTGTCCCCACCATCCGGGCCCCTTTGCGCTCCCCTGTGCCCCCTCGACCGGCGACTCTTGCATCCCATCCGTCATTTTCCACCACTCCTGTACCTTGGGATTCGCCGCCATGCGCGCCATATCGTCGTCGAATGCATGGCCAATGTATTTGAACGATGCGAAGAGCGTCGGGCGGGGGGACATGGTGAGGAAGATGGAATCTGTCGAGAATGTAAGCGAAGCGAACATTTCCCTTCTTCTTCTTCTTCTTCTTCTTCTTCTCTCGCAACGCAAATACACGAGGCGGACGTCATCATCGAAACATGAAGCAATAACCCAAAGGGAAAGCGTCAAACAGGGAAATAAATACAGCAGAGAGTAACACATACAATCCCGTATATTCGAATCTTTAATCTGTTCCAAGACCTCGGGCCAAACAGCCGCATGGCACTTTTTGTATTCGTCAATAGCTTCGGGTCTGAGGTAGAGCCATTGGGCGATGCGGCGGGGGCCTTGGGGTGTTGACATTGTTATTTCTCTTTCTCTCTCGGCGTGTTCTTTTGTTTAATTGGGGTGAGGAGTGAAATAGTAGCGGGGTTGTTGGATACGCATGTGAGGATGTGTATGGCATTAAAGACACAGAGGGGGGGAGGAATGTATATTTTGTGGGGTAAGTACTTGATTAGCTCTGTTGTTTTTCTTGAGATGCATGCATGCAGGAGCTATTGGAGGGGTTATACTAAGGAACTGGTTCGGGATATTGGGGTCCGAGGGTGCGGTTAGTGTGGATGCCGAAGCCGGGCTGTTGGAGGGAAGATTCCACGTGGAGTTACTCGAATACCGGTTTGACGACCAGGTAAGTCTACAAGGAAAGAACCCTACTAGATATACTTTTCTGTGGTCACCTCTGCTAACACATCATGACAATAATCAACAGTGAAGAGGAGATATTTTGCATTGCTATTTGATACAGCTCATCATTCATCGTTGATACATCATCACTGTTTACATGCCTGGCCCGTATATCTACACGTAGCCGACTTTTGCTTACCTTTTACAACCCAGTTATATCCCAATGTACAAGACCCCCTTCGCGGAAAAGACCTGTCGTCCCACTTCACAACATGGCCGCGCGAAACCGATAACTCCATGAATGCAAAACCGGTCCCCAAAAACTGGACACGGGTAGAGCCCAGAAAGCACAAAACTCACTGGTGCACTATCGCGTGAACGTCGCAAATCCGTGGCCACAGTTCATGGATACGGTGCCACAATACGACAGATGGGTACTTTTAGCGCCTGAATTTTGGTCGCAAGGATTCCAGAAGAGAAATTACTGATAAAGTCTACTTCGTCCTCTTCCTAGGGTTCGCCTGAGTCTTCTTCTTCGATGGCGTCTTTTGTGTGTCTCCCTCAATGTACTTCAAAAGATCCTCAATCTTGCGCTGATCAACACGGCTGTTCCCGCTTCGCTGGCTGGCTGAAGCAGCTGCAGCATCACTTGCAGAAGGCGCAGCAGCAGCGGGACGGAGAGGGTTGCGGCCAGGGAGTGGCATCGCCCGGATACGTCCCTTGGCGATATCGTTGAGCTGCTTAGCCTGGGAGACAGCGCTCTGAGTGAGCTGCTCGAGCCAGCTCTCAGCTTCCTTGGTGTTGCGGTCATCAGGGCCGAGAACCTCCTTGAAGATGTTATACGACTCGCGCATGCGGTTGACGCCACCACGCATGTCCTTATCGAGAGCAAGGGCCTGAGCGGTCTGGAAGAGCAGAGTAGCAGTGTTGATCGAGTTCTTTCCGGACACTTCTTCGCAGATGGCGAGGGATGCCTCGAACCAGATGCGCGACTCGTGGTACTGCTTCATCGACTGCAGCATGACAGCAGCGTTGTTAAGCGTAGTGATGGAGTCGGGGTGATCAGGTCCATAGATTATCTTCCACAGCTCGAGCGCATGGCGCAAGTAGACAAGAGCAGCTTTGGTGTTACCCGAGGCATGCTCAAAGAGACCCAGGTTGAGATAGGCGAGCAGAGTGTCGGCGTGGTCAACACCCAGAGTGCGCTCAGACACAATGACGGCCTTGTGTGCGAGTTCAAGAGCCGAAACCTTGTCTTCTAGGTTGAAGAGTAGGTTGGACAATGTGTGGTAGGCTTTGGCTACCTCGGGGTGAAGTACACCGTAAATTTGCTCGTGTAGCTGCAGCGACTCAAGGAGCAACTCTTGTCCGAGCTCCTTCTGGTCCTGAGCAACAGACATGCGACCAGCCTCGAGCGCCTCTTCGGCCAGCAAGCTCTTTGGCGACGCCTCCTTGATGATGGGAACAATGTTCAGAATGTCATCAGCGTGGAATGTCTGCTGTGGGAGAGCCACTGTTGGGCTAGCCGCACGTGCTGGTGGTGTGTTCTTGTTCTTCTTCTTCTTGCTGGAAGTTGTCGCTTGGCCGTTAGTTGGAGGTGCAGCTGGCTTCTCGGCTGGGGCGCTGGCAGCAAAGGCTTCCTTGGTGAAGGCGTACTGCTTGCTCTCCAACTGGAGTCCCAACTTGAGTGAGACCTCACGAAGCATTTGCAGCTCCTTTCCAGACTCGACCCACGATTCGCCCAGGTCATAGCGGAATCGCAGAGCAACCTGAGCCACGACTTCCTTCTTGAGCGCCTCTGGTGTGAGCTGCTCAAAGCTGAAGTCAGCCTCGGTGTACATGGATTTGAGGCTAGCATCACTCTCAGGCACAGGCTTGGCGCTCACTTCAGCTCCTAGAAGGCAGTTGAGTAGGTGCGCGGCCGCTGGGGCAGCAAAAGGTGCAGGCACATTGCGCAGCTTGGAGTTGGCAAAGTGCTTGAAACCACGGGCGATCATCTCTTGGATAAGGAGACGCTTCAGAGCCTGGAGCCTTGGGTCAGGCTTGTCAGCCAACTCTGCAAGCTTGCCAAGGTAGCGAATGTTCACACCCCGCTTGTGCAAGAGGTTGCTCAAAGATTGGCCATCCATCGGGAAACCAACTTCACCCTCCTTGAGTTCCTGGATTATGCGGGGAATGACCTCGGATGTGAGGTGTTCACAAGCAGCGCGGACTTCTGCCTCATCCTGAGCCCACTCCTTCTTGTCCTCTTCCGACTGGGGGTTTTGGCCAGAGAAAACATCAGGGTTAAGGGCAAAGGAGAAGCCAGAGATGTCGACGCGCTCCTGTTCTGGGTCCTCGTCAGGCTTCTTCTCGGCAGCAGCCTTCTTTGCAGCCTTCTTCTGTTCTTTTGTCAACTTCTTCTCTTTGGGCTTCTTTTCAGCGCCCTCTTCTTCTTCAGATTCTTCGGAATCATCCGAGTCCTCAGAGTCTTCTTCTTCTGAAGACTCTTCTTCCGATGAGCTCTCCTCATCCTTGGCCTCCTTCTTGGCCTCGGCCTTTTTGGCAAGCTCATTCTTGACGTATTCACGGAGTTTGACTCGACCATAAGACTCGACCAGCTCCGGGCGCAGAGTAGCCATTCGGTGGGGGTAGTCCTTGTCTTTCGGCTTTGACTCACCCTCCTCTCCAGGCTCAGTCCAGTGTGCCTCTATCCACGAAATATCGAGCGGGGTGAGGCGGTAGAGATCCAAGGCATATCGCCTACCATCAGTACCAATCAAACCCTTGGTCTCGACACTGCCTTCCAATTCGTGGCGAACATTGTCCTTGTCCCAAACCGGGTGCCTCTTGACGCGCAGAGCCTTGGATAGCTGCTCGAAAAGAGGAACAAAAGACTTGTCGTCTGCTACAATTTCCTTGCCTTCAACCGCACCGTAGTCAATCTGGTGCTCGCCAGGATCGCGCTGCTTGAAGATACCGGGGACTATACTCTGGCCCACAATACGCTTTCCTTGGTAGTCAACGACGACGGTTCCAGAGGTAAAAAGGTTAGGAATGTCGAGGTTGTTGACCGCGCGCACACCAAACACATCCTTGCCAACAGCAACACGAGCTGCCTCATCTCCACCTTCAGCGCCGAACGTGCCGACACCGTCGGCGCCAAACGAGTAAAAGATGTTGTTGTAGACAAAGATTTGTGCGTCCTTGGCCTCTGTTGGGTTCAAGGGCGCAATCTCTCCACGAGCTACCAACATGGCACCGCGCGTGGCAGCGTCGTTGTAGTCAGCAAACAGCTTAGACGTAAGGCGCTCGCGGAAGACTCGGTCGTGGACGGCCTCCTTGGGCATCTCGCGGGTAGACTGGAACTCTTCGTTCCAGTCACGGAGCGTCTCAGTGTTCTCAATGCCGGAAATCAGGTAGCTCTCCTGTGTGCGGGCGAGATCTGGCTGGTGTGGGGTGAGGGCCGAGTTGGGCGCAGGGACTAGCCATGGGTTCGCGGGGATGGCGTTGGAGAGCTGGAAGATGGTAAGGAGTTCCTTCTTCGCATTGTGCTCGAGCAGCTCGGGGAATGCAGTGCGGAAAGAGGGAGACAGCTCTTCAAGCAGGGTAAGGAGCGAGTGGGCTCGCTTATCCTTTGGTGCCTGTCGTGGGAAGGGATCAAAACTGGCGTTGGACGACTTGTTGACGTAGAAGCCCGAAACGTGACTGGTGATGTGGTGTTGCTCGTTCTCGTTGGTGGTGACTACGAGGTACAGCAGGTGACCCTTGGACCTAAGGTGATACGGGGGTGGGTTCCAGGGCGAGACGGCAATCGACTTGATCGTCTTGGGCGCGGCCTCTGGGGCCGGTGGTAGCAGGTTCTTGACGGCTCCGGACGTCTTGAAGTCGTAGTCGGCCAATGGCGACTGCTCAGGGCCATCTTGCTTAGGCTTCAAAATGTGC